TGACATGCGCTGAACAAACGCCACGTAGAACTTTTGCGCCGTCTTGAGAAAGCTGCTGTACATCCTATCCAGCTTGCGCTTCTGGACGGCGAGCTGCGACGATCTCAGCTTGCCCAGAACCTTTCGATATTCGGCATTGACGAGGCTGTGAGCCTGCCAGAGGTTGGCTTCGACCTTCTCGGTCGCGGAATATTCGAAGTCATGGAATATGACGTGGAGGCAGGCTAATCGGAGGCTGATGACAAGTCAGCAAGGTAGTTGCGACCCAGTACATTGGGCCGGATTCGGTACATACGAGGAAATGACGCTTTCCAGAACCTCGAAATGCTTCAGCTCGTTGCCGTCGGCATCGCTCTTGAGCTTGTCTACCTCCTTCTGCAGGTGCTTCCGAAGCTTCTGGGCTTGGCTGTGGTCAAGAAATCAGCATCGGAAGGTAGGTGCCCGGAGTCGCATGGACCCCGAAATGCCCACCCAACTGGATAAGGTACGCCAGAGGCAATGCTTGGCGCAATCCAAATTTCGAGATGAGCATGAGGGGAAAATGGTGACTTACTGCCATGCCTGCTTTGCAGCCTCAACATGTTCCGCCATTTTGGAGAATGGCAGAGCTGGGCCGTGGCGTTGGCGATTGGGGGAGGAATTTTGGTGTTGGTGGTGTTGCGATTATTTTCGCGATGGGGTGGTTTGTTGTTGTGGAAGGTGCGGGACTCCAAAAATTCAGGAATGGGACAAAAATAAAGAGCCCAAGCTACGTGCTGTGCTCACACGCTCTCAAGACCAGTCCCTGAAGGTGCGCGCGATCCATAACTTGGGAGGTGAGGTCGTCGGGATCCAAAGGGTGAAGGCGGCGATGGTGGTGGGATTGGAGGAGCGGCAGCGGCAGCGGCGTCGTCGGGTCTAAGGCTTGTGGTGGCACGTAATCGGGGTGATGAGGGAGTCGGGAAGAAGAACATTGGGCAGAGAGTCGGAGGGAAGGAGCGACGAGCGATGCGCCACCCAAAGCAGACATTCAAAAAAGGCAACACTCAGATGGTGTACAAGGACGAGAGTGGCAGACAGAGGCAGGCAGAGAAGAGGGAGGAGGAAGAGGATGGCGATGTCGGGTCTCCATGAGGGACGCGAGCAGAACCTAGCTCATGGGACAATAAAGTGTGCACCTCTCAGTCTGTCCCATCCATCCACATCATCCATCCATCCATTCATCCACCTTGACTGAGCCTTGGGGAATCAGTTAATATTTTAGATGGAGCCCCTCAACAGGCGGGCACACATGGACCGTGCACTGCGCTTTTTGAGATTGGTCCCTGTTCGGTTCCACAGTCCCTCACTGAGTCCCTCATTGATACACACTCTCTCTCCCTTAACGGAGGATACTTGCAGCTCCAGCATGGCCCATGCTAGGTACATCATTCATGAGCCTTGTTATGTTGTTGCTTTGTTAAGAGCCTACCTTAGGCCCTTGCTTGCAGTCAGGTCCTTTCCATCTGCAATGAATTCGATGATGACTTGTCCATCCATCTATCCCTGAACCTGCTGAATGAGCCTTGAGTATTGAGCCTTGAGCCTTGCAGTGGTCTTTGACGGTCAGTGCCCCACTACGGCTCCGGTCTTTGATCTGCTCTCCGCCCAAACCATTCGATTCCACTCACCCTCGTCGGACCTATTGCCGCCGACATTGCAGACCTGACTGGCCCAAGGCTCGGCCAAACTCATTTGTATTCTTGCTATCCTTACGGAGTTCACCCTACGGATACCATACACTGCAGGCCGGCTCAGTCGTCCGAGCCCCTCCACGGATCCTGCCAAAAAGTAATTTCAGGACATAACTCAGCAGAGCAGTGCGACGTGGGGGAAATTCGGGTGCCTGATCTGCAAGTAATCAACCCTCCCGGTCACTTGGCCTTCACTCAAGATGAAACGCTCACGAGAGGCCGAAGAGGAACACCCGTCCTCTGGCATTTCTGCAGACGAGCGTAGCAGTCCGGGGACGTCGACTCCAGATGACCGCGCTGCCAAAATCACTGGACTAGAGCCCGCCGTCGAGGGGGCATCTGAGGATTTTGCCATGAAATGTTCCCTTCCGCCTCACAAGGAGGCCCTGACGTTCAAGACATACGACGACTATGAGGCGCACTACATAGCGACGCACACCAATAGGTGTCTGGAATGCGGGAGGAACCTACCGTCAAGCCATCTGCTTAATGTGCACCATGAGGAATGCCATGACTCCTTCGCCGCTGTGAAGCGGGAAAGAGGAGAGCATACAGTAACATCATCACCCACTTTCTCTCACCATTGGCCCCTATCTTGCTGACACCTATTACAGTATTCCTGCTTCGTAGAGGGCTGTGAGAGGAAATGCATGACGCCGCAGAAGCGCCGGATGCACCTCATTGACAAACATGGCTTTCCCAAGAACTACTTTTTTGCCGTGACCAGGGAGGGTATAGATGGACGACGGTCACTCCTAGTAGAAGCAGGTCATCACCGGCGGAAATCGTCCAACGCTTTGAGTGCGACCAAGGATTCAAAGCGCAGATCAAGCATTCTGGACGCGGCCAGGTCACAAGGCGGAGAAGATTCACAAAAGGCAGGAGATGCTGCGGCCAAGCCAGAGGCCAATTCGGTGCCCGCGCAGCCAGCGATAACGGAACGTCCAGACACGGAAATGGAGGATCTCGCTGGCGCAATGTCGGCGCTGAACTTTGTGCCGAACAGCGTGCGGTTTGGCAGGGGCGGAGGACGAGCAGGCTTTGCAAAACGATGAAAGACGTCACAAATGATACCACTGCTTCGATTAGCGTTCAGGCCATGATGATACCAAAACGGTCAATTGAAAGGATCACTACCTCTTTCCCGTAAACAACGACCCGAGTGATCGTAACCAGGGCCGGAATCAATCCTGCCATGCAAAGCGCCAAACGCCTGCCCACCACTGGAGGCCTGCTGTCGACCGGAAGCCGTGCTGACAGACAGGCTCGTGAAGGCAATCCTCCTGGAAAACACGTACACGACCAGTGACTCTGCTCTTCTAGTCACTTGATGCGCAGCCATGGCATCCGCAAGCGACGCATTGGACCTCTTGGTCCCCCTTGAGCTGGGCCTTGGGAACTCTGCATATGCACGTCGAGTTGAAGTTGGTCTCCTTGGTCTGAACACAGCGCAAGCAGCAAAGCTATAGACACATGTCAGCAAAAGCGACTCATGTTTCGTGACTGACACGCCAACTCACCTTTTCATAGCCCTGCTTCTTCCACTTGGCAATCAGCATTGCGTCGGCGTAGCCGTTCTTGAGCAGCCACTCGTACAGCTGCTTGCTGATGGCCTCCTTCTCGTAGTACAGGTCGTAAATGTAGCGGCTCCTCGCGTGCGCGATCTGGAAGATCTCCCACTGCGCCTGGTGCTTCGGTCCCGTCGGCGGCGGCTTGTTCTGCGCGTCCTTCATCTTGTTCTGGAAGATGAGGAGCTGGTCCTCGATGTCGTTGAAGCCTTCTGGAGGCGGCTTGCGCTTCGAAGATCGCATGGGAGGCATGTTGGGCTTTTGTTCTGCGTGTGTATCTCGTAAATATTTGGTATGACCACTTGTGTTGGGATTTGAAGGTCTCTCGCAGTATCGTGAGAGTTCGTTCCGCTTCGCGTCGCGCTTGTGGTCTGGCTGGATGACGAAGGAGTTGAAGTTCGAAAGCCCAGGCTGATGATAGTGGGGCAAAAAGCTCCGATATCTTATCGGCATGCCACTAACGCCTTTGCACCTTGCGCAGGGCGCTGGATCCGGGCTGACTAAGGAGCCACACGTGATTGGGCCGTCCGGAACCTTGGAGCTTCCCAAGATTCCCGTTCCACCCAGCCAGACAGCGTCGACGACAGGCCGTTCGGGAATCACGTAGCGCAGCAAGCAAAACCGCCCTCTCTTCACCAGCATCCCCCACGCGCCCACCATGGCCATCACACCGACCCAATTCGCGAAGACGACCCGGCAGTGTGAGTTGCAAAGACCAATTGATCCCGAAAATCCCACTGATCCGTCGAGCAGCGGCCAACTGGAACGACGCAAAGAGACGGGTTCTCGCTTCCTACAGAGAATGGATCCGAGCTGTATGTTGCCTCCCCAATTCTGTCACTGTCATAGGACCTTGGACCTATGCGTTCAATTCAAGCAAGGCGCGCAACGATCCGAAGACGATTCGAGCGAGAAGGCCGACTTGAAGGGAAGCTGGAAGCATGGAGCAGTGCTAATTGAGGAACCATTGGGACATAGGCGCCTGAGATCCAGACGATGTACAACGTCCCCCTGCCCGTGTCTGTCCTCCGCACCCGGATACGTGAGGAGTTTGAGCGTCACAGATTCGCCAACAAGCTCCCCGTGGTGGATGTTCTACTCTTCAAGAGCCACGCCGAATACCAGGTATGCCGTTCCTGACGACGAACCACCCCCACGCACGCGCGCATCGAAGCACACCGAGGGAGGGATGGATGAAGAGGGGGGGGGGGGAGTCTTGTGTCATAGAGGAGACCAATTGGACTCATGACGTTCTGATTGGGAAGATATAAGACAAATGGCTAACATATGGTTCTCATAATGCAGGAGACGATGAACTTCTGGAAGCAGACGACGCACATCATGTCCTACTTCAAGGAGGAGAACTTTAGAGGAGACAAGCGGTTGCCTAACAGCTTCATGACTGGATTCTTGGAGGTGAGTTTGCCACAGAAGGGCTACGGGCATGCTAGAGCGAAGAGAAAGCGGCAGGGGCAGGAACAAGGGGACGAAGGGCATCCGCAGACATTTGACGCTGTTTCGCTAACCACTCTTTATACAGGGCCGCAACTAAGAGCGCTGAAAGGATTAGAGCTCGTGTACATATATATACAATTTCAAAAAAAAAACATTTCCGCAAAAAAAGGAGTCACAAAAAGGAAACCCCGACCAACTTGGTTGGATCTATTTCATTTGTTTTGTCTACGCCATTGGTTCTATTTTGAAGTCTCCGTTCCCATGTAAAAAAAAAAAAAAAAAAAAACAAGAAAACGCCTTTTCCATCTTGATCTTTTCTACGAGATGCGTTCACTATGAACGACCAAATTCCTCCTTGGCGCGGATGAATTCCTCGGCGACGGTGTCGCTGAGGGCCTGAAGGTCCTTGAGACCCTTTTGCAAAGCCGCGACGGCGGTACCGTCTTGAGTTTTACCGTTAGTAAATTGGGGAGTGAGGGCAGGGTGGAGAAACGAGAGACTCACCATAGGTCTGGATTCTAATGTTCATCTTGGGTTCCGAAGGGTGAGGGATGGCGTAGGCGCAGAACTCAACGTCGGGACTGTAGTAAAGAGGTGTGAGTTTTAGAGTTCTCCATGACAAGAAATCGAGACCCTTTGAAGAAAAGAAAAAAAAAACCTACTTCTTCATGATGACATATCTCAGCGCATTGCCGAGCGTGTGCCCCTCATCGATAAACTCGAATGAGGCGGCTGTGTCTGTTGAGCCGGGCAGCTACCCGCAAAATTTCACAGTCAGTTTCTCACTTGTACATCCCCCGTGATGAGAAACCCCCTCGGGTTGCAGAGAGAGACTCACAATCTTGACGCGCTGGGGCTCCTCCTCCTCCTCTTCCTCGTCCTGCTCATTCGACTCCTGTCCCTCCTCTTCCTCCTCCTCCTCCTCGGGCTGGTGAGAGGTGGGCGCCTCGTCCATGGGGACGTCTTCCAAGTCGGTTCTGCCGGGCATTTTTTTGCGTTCTTTTTTGTCACTCTTTAATGAGGCTGTTGAATCTGGGTAGTTTCGTCAAAAGCAGTGACACGCGAGGTGAAATTTGGCTGGTTGGTTCTTTTCGTCACGAGGGGGGGGTATAATTGAACCTTTCAGCAATTCGACTTGCACTGCGCGCCATGCTGGTCGGCCTCTCGAAATTTTTTGATAACGGACCCGCGGATCAATTTGATAAGCTGGCAGCTGGCGGATCACCGTACAGCACCGGCACCAGCTGTAGAGGCGGGACTCACCAACCTGCACCTTGCGAGCTCGCATCGCATCTCATCGCACAATGTCGCGTAAGGAGGCGTCTCAACGAACAAAGAATCCAAGGAATACCACCTCTCCCCAGGCTCCCCTCCATCTGCACAAATGCCGCCGAGGGGAGGCAAGAGAAGAGGGCAGCAAAGTTTATCGCTCGGCAGATACAACGGGCGTTGAAGTCCCCCCCCCCCCCCAAGTCGCCGCCGTTCTCCTACCTATCATCTTCATGTTCAGAAATTTGAAAATATCAATATTGCTACGATCCCGCATCTACCATACTTAAATTTTTGACAACATCGTCATAGTATGTGAGACATTACCTGCTTACCTGGTTGTTTGCAGCATGCAAACCAATAAAACCCCAGCTGTGATGGACCTACGCTTTCCGCATGGGGAAAAGGTCAAGAGACAATGAAGAATGCACCACCACCACCACCTACAGGCGCGCGGCAAGATGCAGTCACCTTTGTAGTTCTAGTTGTTGGACGCAGCCACGCACAAGCAGACTGCCTAAGCACCAAGGTACCTACCTATCACCTATCTACACCACCCTGCAGCGTGCTAGTCACATCGAATCCTCTGACTGGTTCCAAAGAAGAATGATCCAAGATCGGTAGCGCGCTTCTTTGTTCGCCCCCGTTTGTTCTTTCGAGAAAGTCCCCAATGACCATGGAGGAGGACATTCCATCACCCTGCATTTCTCGGTAACCAATCCTGGGTTGTCGGTCCTTAAGACTACGGTAAGCTTAAACTTGTGGACTTTTGACTCATCTCGATGGTGAATGAAAGTAATTCAGAATGTCCCCGTAGTAAGCGCATGCTTCAGCATCCTCAGTATAACCAAGTAGTTGAGAGCATACTCCGTCCGTACTCAGACCCAAATCTCGCAATTAAGTCTCACCGAGTCGAACCCCGTATCCGTAGAAAAACCATGGACCTACAAAAAGCAACATGTCTCGGTCCGAAAATCGGACTCAAAGATGCCCAGGGCCCCCCGCGGCGCCTCCCCGGCCCCGACAGCCCAAGTTCTGGGTTGAAGTCTTTCCTTCTCGGTGAGACAAGAAAGAAAGAGAAAACCCACCCTTCTTCCCCCGTGAACAAGGGCCCTCTCACCGCTGTCCACGGACCATCCAACTCCCGCGTGGTTGACGTCCCCGGGGTGGCGGCGTAAGCGCGCGGAGGCGATAGGAGAGGCTGAGAAAGAGGGAGATCGGAAAAGACATCATACATGGCATGCATGGACATCATACGGCATCACGAGAGCCTTGCTTCTCCTCCTTCCCCTTCCCCTTCCCCTTCCGCTCTCCGTGCCCACCTCCATAAAAAATCCCTATCAACGCCCAAGGGAACAAAACAAAACAACCGGGGCAAAGAGATAAAAACCTGATCGCGATCCCAGAGAGCCAAAGCGTTAGATGCAAAGCCGACAAGGCCGTTCCGGTTTCCCACCCTTCACTCCTCGCATTCCCCTCTCGGTCAGACGACCTACGTTCGGATTCTGTTCGTTGGCTGCCAAACCAAACTTGACCAATTCATGATTGTCGAGCGCTGTCACATCGGAAACGAGGTTTGATTGGCCGCCGACCGCCCTTTATTGTTTCAAGACAGGGTCGATGTAAGCGACATGATTGGCTCGTTTACTTCATTCTCAAACCGACACCCAGTTGGTGGGTTTAGCTTGGTGCGTCGTTGAACCGGGGTTGGTCAGGTACATATCGCGCTAGGTCTGGAAGTCACTGTGAATGTGTACTGCGTAAGCAGCATTCAATCCTCGCTCACCAGCCGCATGGATTGACGGATGGTTTGCAGATGACGAAGGCGAGCGACGGCCGTCGTCTGTGAGTCCTACCCAGAGATGGGACGGAGACGTTCAAGGTGGAGGGGGCGTGTTCAGCGTATATGTGGAAAATGTGTGTGCAAGCCGAGGGAAGAGACGTCTTAACTCGACAGATCGTCTGTGCAGGCAAAGCGAATGCTACTCACAAGCCAAAAAAGAACAGCCCTATTTTTCTTCTGGTTGATGCCGCTGAGGAATTTCAGGATGAAGATGTCTGTACCACCGTTCACAGTACCAAGGAAACCTGCCTGCAAGTGGAAAGAAAAAAGGTTGTCGTCCCGAAGAGGATGAAGAGAAATTTTTAGGGGATGTAACGTCGACGACGAACCTGGAACTGTGGTGGGGTTTGGGGGGTTACATGGGGGGCGTGAACATGTCGTTCGGAGAGGGGTGCGAATGGGGATTGGTGCTGAGATACTGGATGAGAAAAGACCATTGGTATCTATGACTGACAAAACCAAAGAGTTACGAGCAGAGTATCCGTCAACGTCGTGGTTATACTACCTTCATCTATGATAATCATAGCAATCCCATCTAGACGTTGTGAGTCGGCATGGACGCATTAAGAAGTAGGAAATTTGACAGTTGACGACGTGCGCAGGAGGTGGCTCTGGCGTCGGTGACGACGACGGCGTGGAGAATACTGCAACTCTCCGACTCGTATTCTTCTGCATTTCGCTCATCAACTTCATGCCAATAGTACGTGCGTCTTGTGCCACAACTCAACTCAGCCTCTTCTCTGCCAACTGTGACACAAAGAGAAAGAGGCTGGTGACACATTGACACATGGGGTTGCGGCTTAACGGTCGTGGGATATGGCCGGGATCTTCAGGAACGTTTTCACATGGATCTTCCCCTTCAGACCCCTGCTCTTCCTGGCCTCGCCTGCCCATGACATTGCCGTGCGGAGAAGGCAAGAGACAGAGTGAACCGGCACCAGCTAATCTCGCCAAACTCAGCCTTCAGGAGGCTCAGGTCAGGTCAACAGAATGAGGGGCGGGTTTCAGCAGAGGCCTGCCGCCCTACGAGTGGCTACTGATCGCCAGTGGTGGCTGTCACGGCCGGAAATCCAGCGAGCGGAGACTCAAGACAAGTTTGAGAACACTAATGCTGCCCAGGTCAATACGAAAGCCGGCTGTTGTCAACGTCAACCCAAGCGACTGCATGCTGCGTAGGGTAGTTCCTACGCGGCAGCGAGAAGCAATCAGAATCGAGGAATTAACTTTCTGGCTAGCGGAAACGCCGTCTCTAGTCCAGAGCTTGCTTGGTCGTGAGCCGCCGCGCGCGACACAGCAGCCAAAGACGACCCATGCTGTTGGCTGACCAGACTTGAGACTCAGACGGCCGATTGGGCAATCTATCTTGTGCAGATTCATCCATGTGGAGTCTCTGGGTCCGTCAGGTGTGATCAGGGGTGGCGGACGTGGAGGGGTGATACTGGCGGAGGAAAAGGTGGAGAGATACTATATTTCACCGGTGAGAGTCTCGTTTGAAGTTTGGTTGAAATATTCCGAACCTATCGACGGAAATTTCAGGCTCTATAGTTGGGTTGGCAATGAATCGGTTTGATCGTTTGTAGTCTGGCCAGTGGCACCATGGGGCCAAAAGAGAAAAAGTAATTCGAGAAACACACGACAAGGTCTTTTCGATTGTCGAGTATCGGATGCCCCTCCATTCATGGATCCTTCTGTGAAGTTTTTCGGTCCAGTTTCCGACGGTGAGCCAAGATCCTGGGCGGTAGACATTCGCACAGGCTTCGGTTGGAAAATGTGCTTGTCGCGATGCAGATGCTGTGCGCAGGTTAGCCTCTTTCTTGGAAGCCCCACCAACGGGAACGAAGGTAGCTGAGAAATTGTTCTCACCTTCCAATTGCCGTCGTCGCCCCCAATGTTCGGGTTTTCTCACTTGGGGGCCGCAAGTGGCTTGAACATCTGCCGGATAGGAGAGAGTCGTGAAGGGCCGACGCCCGGACGGGCCAGTACAGTCTAGTCTTCGCCCCGTCTGATGTGGCCCGCAAGGGAGCTGCAGCGCCGGCGTGCGGCAGTGACGAAGAATGAGCATTTAATAACACCACGAGAGCTATTAGGAGTTTGGAGATGACCGGCAATGTGTGCGGGAAAGCACAGGCACAAGCATCAAGCGCAGGCGCAGGCGGTACCAGGATATCTAGACGCGATGGCGTAGGCACAGGCCACCCGGGCTGGCCGCCTGGCAGTGTCTTTCAGGGTCCGGTGACAGGTTGAAAGCTCCCGTCTCGAGATCATCGGCTTGCCCAAGGCGTGGTTGACGCCTCGGCGACAGCGGTATGGCACCAATATCGCGACTGATGGACAACCCATGGAGCACCTCCGTCCTTTTGCGCCCCACGATAGTCTTAGCACGTAGGAGGTAGACTTGGTCGAAAGTATGCCATCTAATACTGCGTGGTGCTCCACGGCGGTGAAAGCAATGGACGTTTCCATATATCGCTGTGATGCTACGGTTGAAACAACCGAGTCCCGGTTTTGGATGATCCACTGGCAGGGCAGGCCCCGTCATGGCAGGTGCAGAAGTGGTTAGTGCCAGGGGTTCGATCTCGCAAGGTGAGTAAAAGCCAAAGGGTGCGAGAGAGCGCGGGCTGAATTGTGTTGTACTCAGGTAGTCGAGCTGAAGGCGGAGACCTGAACCGTACTGCGTACGCACAGGTGGTACGTACGTCAACGAGGGTCTCAGAAACGGGATCGTGATAGTTTGGATCGTCTTTGGTTTATACGACACAGATAGTGTTGCGTGGTAGCGGGCTAGCTGAGCTGACTAGCGGTTCTGAATTGCCTCTGCTTCGGAAGCTGATGACGAAGCAGGTGCCAAGCCACGTATCGCGATGCAACGAGAACTCGATGTCCCATAGTTTGAGCAGCGGTGATTCTCATCGGATGAGGCCGCCATGATTCTGTATTGCGGTAGCTCAGGGCACGGCAAGCTTACCGAACCGAGCCAAGACATTGAAAAGAGGGCGAAAACGAGTGAGGGATTGTGTTGTTGAGGGACAGAGTTAAGTGTATTGAAGCCCCGCCAGTGGTGTTTCCGTCTGGTCTTTTGGAGGACATATTCGTTACCTTATTGTTGCGCCTCGGACCTTGCTTGGCTCGATCTCGACATCGGTATCTACCTGTAAAGGAGGAGGGTTCCGATTGCTTGTCTGTTGAGTTTCCCCGTCTTTGATAGAGTGCGGTCATCACGGTAGGTACATGGATGACAGAGGTAACGGCGAGTTGGGAGCAGGCTGAGCGTGTAATTCCTCATACTCGGCAGGGTTACAGGTCCCCCTAGCAGGTCGGGGATGTCTTGTCTCGCACGAGGAGAATTGTCGTCCGGTGTCGTCAAAGGCCAACCCATGGCCCATGGTGCTTGATTGATGAAGTGCAGTCTGTGCCAATCCTGACAATCTGGTGGGAGAAATTGTGTACCCTCTGGAAGGAATAGTGTAGTTGAGGAGGGTGAGGGGCACGGGCGAGTGGGTGAGCGGTGGCTCGTGTGTTGCAGGATGGTTGGCATCGAACCCAATCAGAAACAATAGTCTGCTATTCCTGCCGCAGCGTGGGCCAACCGTCGCGGCCTTGTGAGCTTCGCCTGCGGTAGTCGTCGATTGGTGGTAAGGCACGACACAACGTACCTTTCGATAGGTTGCGACGGTGGAAGAGTTCCATGGTGGAAGACACTACCATGTGCTAGGTACCCGTCCTTTGACCACTAGGCATCGTACCGTGGTAGTGTTGCTGAGATGGCTTCCCGTACTTGAGAGGTGGTACTAGGTAACTGCCATGCTGTGGTAGGTACGGAGTGACTTGCAAGAAGTATTTGAATCTACCTCTGGTTAGGTAGGTAGGTATGCCAGGCACCTCAGGCACATGAGCAAAGGTGCCTTGCCTTAGCTTCCCCGAGGTGCTGTGGTAGCTTCCCCCTCATCATTCTAGTTGCCGGGCTTGCAATGCAGCCAATTCTCGTCTGAGCATGGATATCGAGATTGGGATTGAGAACAAGAGGGGAGCATAGCCATTGTTGTTCTTCATGCCATGGGCTCGCGATAGTTGTTTCTCTCGGATTCTGCTATTAGGAGGTCGTTGAGAGTATCCGTTTCGTAGTGGGCTGGATGATTGATCAGCATCATCGGCCAGAGAGCTCCAGTCCTGTCATCCCGTCATTGTCAATCTGTATGTGCGCCCAAATAGGAAGTATAGACTGTGTGGGAGCTGTGGACCAGGGGTCCCGAAAGAGCTCAGTGAGGATTTGGACAAGGAGATGGGAGGATGAGAACGGGTGAGGAGAAAAAGAGCAGGAACCCACCCGGGGGAAACTTGACCTTCAATGTCAAACAGCCTACTGTGTACGGAGGTGAAGCGGCGCCCCCGCTCACCACATCCCACGCCCCTTTTGAGATTGAACACGATCCGAATTCTCACCGTCTGCCTCCGCCGCTCTCTCTCTCTCACTCCTTGAACTGGAGTCTTTCCAGCAGCGTGGATGACAGCCACAGCCCTGTCCCGTCCCGTCCTGTCCTCGCTTGTGCTGGGTTTAGTGTCTCTGCGTAAGGTGGCCGAGTTGAAGCAAACCACATTGCTACTCTGCGAATAGTACCAGGTAGCCCAGTAGCACCTCCACCATTGCTACACGCCTGCGAACCAACCAACAGCTGGAGAAGGCCCAGAGCTCCCGAGCCGACGGATGCCACTCTGCATCTTGTCGTCGCTCCTGACACTGAGTGGTGCTTCACCAGGCGGAGGCGAGAGGAGAAACGTAGAAGCGCAGAAGCAAGAGGAGAACAAGAGAAGAACGGCCGCAACCGTCAGATGTTGCCGTCCAATCATTCCCGTATGAACGAACTGTTGAAAGACCGAGGGCCTGGGTTCTGAGGTGGCCTGGAAGTCTAGACTGCCTCCGCCGCACCACCAGCCAATGTCACCACCGCCCTCTGTCGTGTGTGTGTGTGTGTGCTGGATAGTGGGAGAATACCACAGTGTAATCGCATTTGTGGCATGAGTGCCATACTTACTCCGTGAGTGCCATAATCAGGACACTTCCGTAGGTAAGAGAGGCCAAGTCAAGCTGGAACTGCTGGCAGGTGCATCCATAGGTAATCCCGTACGGCTTACAGCACATGGGCATTATGCACACACCACTTTCCGATGAGGGGAGCCACCCCCCCCTTCCCCCTTCCTGCCCTGGGATACTCTGGACGGAGTACGTATATGTCAGCCAGTCAATTGCATCTCTTGCAGCATAGATCCCGGAAACCCTCAGCACATCCGACATTTGCAGTAGTATCGATGGGGTGCTGAGGTGAATTCAGCGGTACTCTGTAAGAGTCTACAACAGGTAATCTGTATGCGGGAACGAGAAAAGGCAAAGGAAAGGGAAGGGAAAGAAAAGAGCAACAGAGCAAAAAGGGCCTGGTGTGCCGGCTGGGCCATAATTGTGTCACTCCCGTGTTCCCCTTTCATAAGAAAATAAAACAACCACAGCTGCTGCCCCTCTACCTACTCCGTGACCCCCTCCCCCCCTTCCACCCCTCTTACCTCCTGGTGCGCTGCTCTCCTCCAAGTCTCCATGATCCATCCTTCCAGCTGCTTGTCCAAGGGCCCTGGTCAGTTCTTGATCGTCTTGCTCCATCCAGTCTCACTTTATACCACTCTATCCCGTGCCTTACTGCGTATCCGCTCTCCGTGAGGATACCTACCTTACAGACCTACTCTGTACGGATACCTGTGTAAAACTAAGGTGGCCAGCACTTCCCATTTCTCGACAAACTTGTCACTGAATTGTCACCACACCCCCGTCGTTGCACTCTATGTATGGCCCTTTACCCCCTTGGTCCCTGTTTTCTTGACCTGTCCTCGACTTGTCAACTTTGGGGTCCCCGTCCCCGTGCCTGTCCCAATCCCCGTCTCCTCCTCCCAGTCGTCCGAGTCTTGAGTCTTGAGTCTGAGCCTGAGCCTGGAGGTGTCTCGACGGCTTGCTTTAAACACCACCCCCTCCCCTCCATCTTTTTCAACTTTTGTTTTGTAACCCTCGTCTCGTCCAGCGCTCGCTTCTCTTCCCAACCTTCTTCACCCCGTCCATTCTTCTCTACTTCTTCTCCTTCCCCGATACCCCCCTCTCCTCCTTTTACCGGTTTCTCAAAACCCCCCGCGCCTGGCCTTTTCTCCTCCCGACGTCGCAGACCAAGTCTCTCGCTTTTTTCTCAAACAAAACAAACCACAACCTTCTTCTTTCGTTGATTTGACCTGACGACCCGACGGACCTTACGCTACTACTTTTACTACTACCAGCTTCCAATCTCGTAGTTCACTCCGTCTCGCGCCAACTAATTAATACGACCATATACCCTCTTCCGCAAACTCAACCTCAACATTGGGCATCTACCTATTTGACTCGAGAGAAAGAGAAAGACACAAAAGACTTTCTCACCAACCAACCAACCAACCAACCAACCAACCAACCCCCCCGCGAGCCCTGATTCGAACTGAGACTGATCTGCTCCCTTTTCTGGACACCACCTGACACACGAGCCGACCTGGTCGACCCCATTGTCTTTTGTCAATCAGTCATTCCGTGCCGGCAACCTTTTCTCAGGCACCACTAATTTTGGCACACAATCCGCCGCTGCGCATTCCACAGCTCCAGCTTTCCGTCGCAGTCCGCTTCAATTCAAAGAGCGGCCAGCTAGCAACAAAAAAAAAGGCAGCACAAGTAGCAGTAGCAGTAGCAAGCAGCTCTGTCTCTCTTGTCTCTTTTCTTATTTCTACAACATTTCGGATTGTTCCGCCCCGCTATCTCTCAGGTAATCAGACCAAGCCGCTTTCCGTCTACTCGCGCTCCGACTTTTCACGGCCCAGCAGCAATCAGCTACGGTACCTTAACCTTTGGAGGCCTTACCTTTAGAGGCACCACACCACACCGTCACCTCCACCGCCGCCCAGTGCACCCACAACCCTCCAGGCTAATTCCTCCCCCAGCCCGCTCTCGGCCATTCTCGTAAAGCTCAAAGCGCAAGCTCGAAGCGTCAATTGCTGCGACTCCGCGCTTCGCAAGAAAGGGCAAGAAAAACAAGGACAAAGAGTTCAGTCCACTGACTACTCCCCCAAGTCACTTCCCATCAAGTCTAGCCGACCAGCAAACCAAAAACCGACTTAAAGTCGAGTCCTCTCGTTTCGGCCTTGGCAACCCCAATCCCTCTGACACAGAAAGAGTTGCAGTCGCGCACCTTCTCCTCGTCAAAAGTCAGACGTCGACAATTCCATCCATCTCGACCCATTTAAAACTGGAGCATCGAGCAAGGGAGAATCGCGCATCTCAATCACCCAGCGTTTGACGACATCGTCAATTCGCCCTTTTACTAATTTACCAACCACTCGTTGCATCGAGACCAATTTTGCACGGGGTTTCCATTCTCCGGCCTAGCATATCTGCAATCGTCAAGCCAAGCGAGGCCCCTTTTGCAGACCAAACGGCAAATAGGCGTGTCGGGTGCAGCAGCAGCAATCCAACCCGACCGCTCTCCTTTTTTCTCGCTTCATTCCTCCCAAACCTACCGACAGCAACTATGAGCACAGCGATCGCAATGGCTCCCTCTCCGGCCCCTCACGACAGACCGTCGTTCCCCTCTGATCTCGCTCCCGCGTCTTCCGCACAGCACGGCGCTTCCTCGCCTGCACAACAAAGAACTCTTGCACCGACTGGAACTCCCAATGCGACGGCGCATCGATCAGGCAGCGGCAGCCCTAGGGGTGCCGCCCAAGCTCCCAAGTCATCTCCTCCCAGCGCGTAAGTTGCATCTGCACGTCTATCCCATTGCCTCGTAATCGCAGTCAATTAACTCTTTCTTCCCTTCCAGCGCAAGACATGCCAGCGGTGCACCAAAGATCGTTGTGAAGAAGGAGCCCAACTCCCCCGACTTGCCGACGACCCGTCACAGGCCACGCAAACTCGACCTGTCCAACAAGGGCGCCCACCCGGGCTCCAACACTCCTGGCACTGCTAGGCCCATGACTGCTAGGGACAACTTGGGTATCCAGGAGGTCGGCCTTGCCTGCCTTTCGCCCGGATTCGTCACCCAGGACCCCGTCATGAAGGAGCAGCTCCAGCGCAGCATGAGCGTGAGAGACCAGCAACGCATGATCATCGAGCAGAGAATGCAGCAGCAATCAGCAAAGGGCGACGGCCCTGACACCTCTGGCAAGGACCCTGTTTCTCAGTTCGCAGCAAAGACCCCCGGTTTGTCTCGCAGGAACAAGGCCCAGCTTTCCATCCTGCCGCCCTCCGCCGAGTCTTTTGCCAACGAGCGAGTCATCCAGTCGGCGCCCTTGGGACACTCCTTCACTGGTCGTCAACACCCTGCACCTCTCTCTCGTCACATCACAAACCAGCCGAACACTCTCTCCAACACTTCTCACATCCACCATGTCCCTGCCAACCAGACGAACAACCGTCTCCCGCCCATCAGTGACGTCTTTGGTCAGGTTTCTGGCCACCCCGACAACGCTCCTACCTCTCTGTACCCTCAGACCAGCCGTCCCCCTATGGCATCACCTGGCCACCCTCCTCAGATGCAGCATGGCCCTCCTACTTCCGGACGTGCCAGAGAATACAAGTCAGCGGAAGAGGCACAGCACGAGATTGCCGGTGGCCGCCCCGAGCTGCTCCCTAAGATCGTTCACTACGGAAACGCTCACCAGCCTCCTACGCCTCCTTCCCCTGCCCCAGGAAGCAGAGCCGCTGATCCCAGCCGTAGCGCAAGCCGGCGCCGCACCCGCGCTGAGTACGAGGACGGCAGCCCGCCATTGGGTCATGGTCCCGCTCCTCAGCGAAGAGGACCATTCGGTGCCGGTCGGGACAGCCCCGAGAGCCAAAGGCAAAAGCGCGAGGAGTTCATGCAACTCTGTGCCAGAGCCTGGGACCTTTTCCACTCCTAGAGAGCCTTTTGTCGTCTTTGTTCGATTCTTCCACTTCAACGAGTAGGCCACTTGCGTCTCACTCCTAGGTTTCAATTTCCTGCGGGATCCGGCCCCGCCTTTTCGTCGATTCAATCTCGGCCAGCTTGCATGGGCTTGAAGCAGTATTACGTCCACTGTTACTATTTTTGCTGCTCTCCTCTAGTCGGAAAAAGAGGAGGTAAAAAAAAATATCGCGGCAGACTAGGATTCAAGTCAGGGATTAATGTCTGCAACTACGAAGAGCTTCCTCCTCGGCACGTCTCCGGCAATGAACAAAACCGATCATTACGAACTTCAGCTTCCTCTCGAGGGAAAAGCGATGGATTATTTTCGCGAGCGGCTAGGCGGGTACGAGGCGGTTGGCGCTACCGGTTTTGGTTTGCTTCTATTCTACAAGGGGCAGTCACGGTTTGAGGAAGAATTTTACGTTCGATTCTTGCACTGGAAGTTTAAGATGTGCGCCAGGGGGCGTTTATTTGCTTTGTCATTTTCATGTGGTTATTACCGGTGTTTACGGGAAAATGACGGGTTGGCACGAGATTCATGAGCAGAGAAGGGGGTGCAGATTCCTCTCTGTATGTATTATCTTGGGGTCGTCTGCTATGGGGAAAGAATGGTGGTCGAGGGACATACCCTCGGCGCGTATCTCTTTTGTGTTTTATGCTTCCTGCTTCCCGCTGGGGAGCTGCCAACCTGTGCGCTATCTTTGTCGCCTTGGTATTACGTATATCGGAGCAAGAGGTACTGAAGATTCGACACGCATATACAAGAGGCCTTGAGGCTTTCGTTTCAGTTTAAAATCAGTCTTTTTCCTCGTGTGATGTGACAGGATGTGATGCATGACATGACGTTTGACCACGGTTACGGAAAAATGAGGAGGTATGTGATTGTGGGGGGTAGCACAGTCAAGACGATGAGATGAGGGAACGGCTTTTTACAACGTGGAAGGAGGGTAAGACATTCAATTATTCCCCTTACAAAGAGTCCGGATCCATCCAGAGAAAGCGGCAGCCCGGCCGGAAGACGAGCAGCAAGGACCTGTCTTCAACGTATAAACGGGCCGGCTGAGTAACCTCCAGTACGTAGAGCCGGGCACCGGGAGATGCCTGTGTCGATCTCCACTGCTCCCGGACTCTCTCATCCCTGCCGGTGCCATGCCGGGGGCGACAAGGGTCCTTACACGGCGTATGCCTCCGGCACCCGGAAAGGAGTGGGTCATCCTCGGAGCCCCGCCGGGGTCCCCCCCACACGTGGGCCGACTTCGAGAAGACTTCCACGGGAGTGCGGTTTAATTCTTCCGGATGCGGTATCAGGCGGTAAACTAAAAGGTTTACCCGGCTTGGGGACTACCTTATTCCCCGTTCCGGTAGTCGCTACGGTGGGGAGGAGGAGGAGAGGTGGCTAGGTATAGGTCCGGCGGTACCGGCGAGCCGGATCCGGCGCCGTGAGCCTCTTTGTTACTTCCTTTGTCCATTTTGGGGGGGCCACGGGGGCGGGAGGGAGGTGTTTGGATGCTGGTACACTAGAGCAGGGCAGCTGAGGTCCCAAGTAGCGCTGGCGGCTAGTCTAGAAACTAGGATTTCTAGTCCTTCTTTCGAAAGAAGAAAGAGTGCTGGGGGAAGACGGAGAGCGAAAAAGGGCTTCTGGGGCTTTTCCTTTGCTGGCCGCCGGATTTGGGTAGGGAGGGGGGACATACTGTACGCCACGCGGGCGGGTCGGGATGGGACTTTTTTTGCCCAAGATCTTGAATGTGGAGGGGGGGGGGGAGATGAAAGAGGGATCGGTCGATGACGCTGGTTGAGTCTATCGAGATTCCGAGTCTACTACCTTACCTTACCTTACTTCGGAAAGAGGGAGGGGCCAGCGGCAGTGCATACAACGTCAGCCAGCTCACCTACCATACTATCCACTACCCCAAACCTCCCTTTACCCTACCTTGCCTGGTCACTGTCTTCCTTACCCCTAGTCTCCAAAATTCCCCGCTGCAGAATGGAGTGAACAAACGCTGTCTGAGATTTTGGAGAGATTCTAGTGCGGTCGACCTTGGGGGTGGGTGGCCAGTCCACGGGATCAAGAGAGACCGCACAAAACCATGTGTTCTGGCCTAAAGTGTGAGTCAACTTATCCACGGAGGAGGCTTCTGTCGTGAAGGGTAGGGTTTTGCTTTGAGAAAAGAGGCGGTGTGTGGTTTTGGTCATGCCAGTCTGTCAGGATAGCCCGTCAATTTGCTTGTCAATCAGTCAGTCTCTCCCACGGAACTTGGGAGAAGGGCGGGCTGCTGCGTTGGCTTTTCCTTCCCCCGTTGAGGCTCTGGGCTAAGGAAAGCTCGAGGGCCTAATGGTAAGGTCGTGAGTGTGAGTCGTCTGTCTCGTGCTCTAGGTCCGCATGCCCAGGCCAGTCCAGTCCATCCAGTCTGCTCCCAGTCTACTCCCAGTGTAAATCTACCTCAGGTAGCCTACCTACGCTGACCGCTCCTGACAGGGCAAATGGACAAAACTCCAGTATTGTAAAGGCGGACCGAGCATAATCCTCGCCAAGGAAAAAAGTAGGAATCGCGAGAGAAGAGACAAGCTCCCTGCTTCCCAGCGTGTCACATAGGTAGAACAGCAAGACTACTTACTGTGCAATGATGAACGCGCCAAGCAAGGCATCCGTCCATGGCGAAGACAAAAAAACATATTGCCTTCAAACCCAAGATCGCAAATAACGAAATCACACGTTTCGTCCGCCCTGCTTTTCACCCAGATTCGTCAGATCTTGGCGAGCAGACGAACGGTCTTGGGCGTGTGTGGCTTAGATTTCCATCTTCCGCCAAGACTTTTTTTGCAAAGTTGCACTTGGCAGCGGTCCTTCCCACTTCTGAGCCCCCGGAAGTTTTCGGTTCGGTGCAAAAAGCATGAGACGGACCTTCGGACGGAGACCTCGCAGACACACCGGCGCCCGTCAGTCTCCGTCGGGTTGGGTCGATATAAAGTTAAAGAGAGAGAAAAAGAAAAAGAAAAAAGAAGCAACGAAGATGACTTCATCGCCGGGGTTGTTCTCCACAGCCACGGACACCGCGCGTCGGCCACCCGGGGAAAAAAGGCAGCAATTAAGAAGTCGAGTGTGGGCCCACACTTTTTTTCCGGCACTCAGATCTGGGCCGGCGCCCCATTCCCAGATCTTGAAGCCGCGGGAATTTGTACGGCACCCCCATGTTTGCCCCCATTCGTCATCGGGCCCAAGCAAAGCCCATCCCCAAGGTTCATCTGCAAAGTCATCTGCCAAGCTGTGATGTAGGAAGTAGAGTTCAGCAAAAGAGATCTCTCAGCAAATGATAACCCACAGAGCGGTGCGCCCCAAGAGCAATGTGGCTGTGGACAACTCTATACTGCGCCCGGCTCTCTTACATTGCCCGCCTACCTGTCATCGTAGAAAATCCGGTAGAGAGAAGCATCGTGGCTTTGCGTATCCCAGTGATGCAATAGATCCAACCATATGCTTCCATGGTAGGAACCACGGATCAGCCTGTGCCCAGGACATGGGACAGGTGACCAGGACAAAGTCGCAAGGACCGCCCAGACCCAAGCAAAATTCATGGCAAAGAGTTGTGAGCACACAGACAAGAGCAGTCACAGAAACGATCACGCCCAGGATGCCGCTCCTCTTTTGCTGTGTTCATTAAATTTTTCTTTCTTTAGGTCTTTGGCTCAGAATACAGCCACTCACTATAGGGGCAAAGCGAGTGGACTAGGGGTTTTGCTGCCGGGAGACCACACGATCAATCCAGAACATTTGGTTCTGGCAAATATGCGGGACATATCAGTTCCATAGCCCGCACACGCATGCAGTCTCCCAAGACGTTGTTCCCAAGGCCCGGTGCATCATGCCCATGCATCCCGGTCCTTACCGATTCCTCCTGGTTCTCAACCATCCCACCGAGCCTCTTCCCTCAAGGCTCATCCAAGTCCATCTTCCGTTTCCAGGTCGTGAATGCCCTTGCGCATCTTAAATCCGTCGCTCATTATAGCTTCATTCCATGGGAGGCTGGGGACTGCTGGCCAAGTCAACCCAAAGATGTAGTGGACCTGGCTCTGTAGCGTAGTTCTGCCGGTGCCCCATTCCAAAGACGGGGGGTGTCATATGTACGTTGAACAGTAGGTTGTTGTGGTGTAAGCAGCATGGGAGGGTAAAAACGCCAAACGCCGATGCTCGCAATAACAGGGTCGCATGGGGGGTGTCGTAAAATCGTCAGGTAAACAAGTGTAAAGGGGTGTGAATTGAAGCAGGCTGAAAGAGGGAGTCAAAAGACCGCCGGTTGACGCACGCTGTCTGTGCAGACGCATTGTTCTATCGTTGTGCCGGGTTGGAAATTTTCCGGTCATTGCTGTTCCGCCGTGGAAATGAATTGTTGAAAGTCTTGTTGACAAGAAAGAAGCTGTCCACCATAGTAGTTCCAAGGCCAGGCCTGTCGTTATTCAAAGACCCTCTTCACCAGCCTTGCAGAGCTTGATCTCACGTCCCCACTCTGACTTGAGAACCTGGGACGCAGTAATGCGACGGGTGGGATTAGGATCCAAAATCGAGTATATCACGTTCCTACAGCGCGCCTGAAGGCTGTCAGTTCCTGGACAATACTGCAAGCATATCAAGTAGACTCACTCTGTGCAAGGACTCAATCGGTCCGTAGCCCTCCTCGTCGCGACGACCTTCCAGGTATCTAGCATAGAATTCGTCCTCGTCTTTGCGGGCTACGCGCCAAAGGTGGCGACCTGTACGCATGGCCATGTAAATGACACCACAGGCCCATACATCGACAGCGCGGGCGTCGAACTCCTTGTCCGTGTATTCCTCGGGCGCGATATAGGGAGCAGAGCCACAGAGGCCGGAAACCATGTGAGGATCCGTCTCCCAGGCCATTCTGAAGCACTCTCCATTGCCAAAGTCCGTGATCTTCAAGCCACCACGAGTAGTGAGCAGCAGATTCTCAGGCTTCAAATCGCGGTGGGCAACACCCATCTCGTGAAGGTACTCCACACCACGCATCATCTGCTTGAAGTAGCAATCCGCCTCCTGAACCTCCAGCTTGCCGGCTGAGAGGACGAGGGTGTACAAATCACCACCGGCGCAGAACTCCATGACCTCGCAGTAATCTCCCTTGGCGTCCTTGAGCAAATCCAGAGTGTGGATAACGTTGGGGTGGCGCAACGACGAGGAAATGCAGAATTCGGCAGTCAGTCGCTTGCTGTACTTCTTCTCCGTCTCCTCTGGACGACGGCGAAATTCCTTGACGGCGAAGAGTCTTTCGACACCATTCTCGACCTTCTTGTGGGATATTCTGACAATTCCAAAGGCACCACGACCTACCACCTCCTGACATTTTCCGTACTTTTCTACGAGGGTGGTTGTTGCATTTGGGCCGTTCTTCTTGTCGCCGGCCATATCCTCCTTCTCGGCCTTGAGCGTGTCGACCCAGTTAGAGACGAGCGACAAGTCGTTTTCGGCGTGTTCTTGCTTCTTGCCGATGAGGGTACGCCACATGTCGGAGAGCTTCTCCTGCCTGCGACTTGACTTGAGGTGGTGCTCGTGGCCACCTTGCAAGTCTGGGCTTGCCATGAATCGATGAAGGTCTTTTACGGGGGGTTTTGCGGGTTTGTTGGCTGGTTTCTCGGGGACTTTCTCTGCGGTGGTGGTGGACGGTTTCCTGCTGGGAGGTTGGGGCTTGTCGCTGCCATTAAAGCTGGAGCCGCGGGGTCGATGGGGGACCTCAATAGCGTTTCGGCTGACGTCTTTGGTCGAGAACATGCGCGTGAGCTTGTCCTTCATGGAGGGTTTCTCGGCAGGTTTCGGCAGGGCGTCGTGGGACGAATTGCCGTTGGTGAGGGACTGGCCATTTTGCGGGGTCAAACGCGGCGATTTTTTGCCGTCAGACTTGACTGAGGAAGGTTTGGAACTGGCCGCCGAGGCGGTTGTTGGGCTCGCCATAGCGGGGGATGCGGAAGGCATGAGCGCGCAGCAGGTTTGTTTGGTGGTTGAAGGTTCGTTCGGAGGGGTCTTGGTGGTAGAGAGGAAGGGTGGACGGGACGCAGGCGGTATATAGGTACGCGAAAGCGAACCGACGGCGGATGACCTATCGCCTCTTTCTTGGTCTGTCCTTCTTTTTCTTTTCCCCTTGTTGGCTGTTGTCTCTCTTGGTTCCGGCTATCGGTGACGCAGGTAGGCCGCAGATGGGTGTCAGCCGCAAGGGAAGCGTGGGTGCAGTGCAGCTGGCAAGAATAAACAGCTATGCACAGCAGGGCGGGCTGCTGGAGGGGCAGCAGAGACAGGTTATGCAGAAATGAGCGGTGGTGGTGGGGGTAAAGCCTGCGACTCAAGCGAGTCTCTAGTCTGTCTGGTCGAGTCGAGGCGAGTCGAGTTGAGCCGAGTAAGACTCGGGAGTGCCGTCGAGTGTCGAGGCTCGGGTCTGACAAGGGAAAAAGGGCTCGCTGTGGCGCAAAGAACGCCTCGGCGCAGTGGGAGGGCTCGGGCCCAAGTAGACGTGACTCGCAGGGCGGACAAAATAGCAGACCTGTTTCAACCCCCTTTTCTTTCTAATTTTGTCCCCGTGGTGAAAGGTGGTAGGGAAAGGGGGGGTGTGCTGTAGGTAGTATTCAAAGTTTTTGAGAGAAGAAGTCGGAAGGGAGGGTAATAAGGCGAAGAAGATGGGATGGGCGTAGGGATTAGAGTATTATGTAGTTGAGAGAGAAAGAGAGAGAGGGACTGCAGGAATGGGAACCTAAGCAGAGGCGGTCGGAGCGAGAAAGCGAGAAAGTCTGGCCCCAGCAGGCGACAGCGGCGGCGGGTAGCGGTCTGGTGGCAGACAACGCGCAGGCGGGCGGGCGGGCGGGCGAGCAGTCAATAGTACCAGAGAAATTGGGAGGGGACGGAGGGGAGAGGGGGGAAGAAGTGGAAGTCAAGGGGGAGGGGAGAGAGAAAAAAAAATACAGCGGGACAGTCAGGTTGTGACAGCCAGGCAGGTGGTGTCAGTGAATACTGCGTAGGTGGTGGCCTGGTGTAAGTAGAGCAAGGTAGCGTAGGATGTGTAGCGTCTTTTGAGGTAAAGTAGGGTCAAGGTGGGGCCTAACGATGGAAAGATTGGATTGCCCTGCAGCTCGGAACAGTTAAGGAATTTGAGACCTAAGGGCAGAATGCAGACGGGCTCCGACTGGACTGGCGAGGGCCACGACGACCTAGGGCCGGAGGTGGGAGGTGAGAGGTGAGGTGAGGTGAGGTGGGAAGTGAAGTACACTTCGTCCGGATATCGCGAGCCAAGGTACCTCACCTTACTGAAGCAGTGAGAGCTACGGATACCTACCTAGGTACTTAAGGTATTAGCCACGGCCTGCAGAAAGCAAATGGGCGGGAAGCAGCAGAATGGAGACTTTTGAGAACTGGAGACTGGAGACCTGGTATCCTCCACTCCCTCCCTCCACTGCGCTGGTACTGGTACCGCTCTAGGTACTGGCACTGTTGCTAGCTCCACGCAGGTGATCGGGGTGATTGACAAGTACTGCTAGGTTATTTTTTGCTGCTTTGCTTTGCGTTGCCGTCGAGTGGGTGGTGTCGCTTTTGCTGAGGGAAAAAAAAAAAACACACAACAGGCCGCGGGCGGCGGGTGGGCGGTGTAAGCGAAGTGAGTGTGTCGGGGCCGGTCGAGAGCTTCCAGGTTCCCACGCCGTAAAAGGTACGGATACAAAGCTACCCAGCACGGCTGTACGACGAGCAAGGTACCTTGTTCAACACGAGTTAGAGGAGCAATAAGCTGTTCCAGGGAGGAGGGCTGGAAAAAGGCTTGTTCTCGGCGTTGACTTGTTGTTGTTGTTGTTGTTGCTGCTGCTGCTGCTGCTGCTGTGCTGGTCAGCAGTCACCGCCTAGGTAAACCGAACTTTGATCTGTCAGCAACCCCCCCCACGGCTCGACTGCCCTTTTCCTTTCTTCGCGGCTCGCTTGCTTTCCCTCCCGTCGTTAAAAGTGGTGGCAGGAAAGTCTGGCCTGCTTTGCTGCTCGGCACCAGACCAGTCGTGGACTCGTGGTCGGTGTGACTGACTGCCGTGTGTGGTCCTGGATGGAACAAGGCCGAAATTGCACACCTCTTTGGTAATCCAGTCCAGTCCTTAATGTCCCTCGTAGCCCGCCTGTAGACTGCGGTACTATGGATTACCAAGAGCAAATGGAAGGGAGAGTGCGAAGGTCCGAATTGCGACAATGGTACGTACGGCCTAGGCTCTAGCACTCTCGAAATGCCTTGGCCAAGAACTGCGCCAGCCCACTGTACAAGTTGGCAGTTGCCTCGTACACAGACAAGGACCTTCGTCTTCCAGGCTGTCTTTTTGTCCGGCCCTGGTTGTGGTAAATGGGTGGTGGAAGATGACTGCAAAGGTGGCGCGTGAACTGCTTTTGGCTTCAACGTAGTTTGTCCGCCCTCAGTGTGGAGAGAGATGCCTCCAGAACGTGCTTGTAAGCGGCAGTCGGCAATTCCCATCAGTCACCTTTTTGCTGTTTACTGTAATAATTTGGAGGTTTTCCATCTAGTCAGTCAAGCTTCCCAGGTTTGCTCCGAACGGCACCTTGGCCACTCCGCTGTTGCTCTTACGGTTCGGTCTAGCCTCCGATAGATCAAGGGGCTACTTATAATCAAGCGAGTGATATCAAGGGCATGCCAGAAAAACTCTTCCCACTTGCAAAGCGTACTCGCAAAGTGGGAGTATCCAGTAGGTGGTTGATTTCGTCTTTTTCCCTTGTTTCCCAGAATGTGGCGTATTCGTTTCCCGTTTCGACGGAGACTACCCGATCCCTTAACACCCTCAGATTGGGGTGACGGGGGCAATGACCAGGGACAGGGCTGAGTTGTTGAGCCAGAATCTGTATTTGATGTGAAAGAAAACGCTCAAATATGTACCGAGGTAAGAGACAAAGATACAAAATGGGTTGCTGACAACCAGATAGCTAGCTACTTACTCAGGTACACGAACGAACACTGAAAACAGGTACATCAAAGGCAACCAATGTTGGTTAGCACATCTCCATAATACCAGAAGAAAAAAAAGTCCGTCCATCTGTCACTCTAGTGGGAAACCCACCACAACCACCACCCACCGCCATGCGCAGTGATGATACAGAGCGGGAAGCAGGCAGGTAACAGATGCAGTAACAATAACGTAGCTGCATCGGATGGGGTCTCTCGTGAGTGGACCAGGCGTGGGCAGAGACACCAAGATAAGGTTAGGTCAGGTTAGGGTACGAAAGGCACAACTGACAAGAACTCAAGACCTTTGTCCACAAGGATCAACGAGACTTCGGAATCCTTGACGTGGCTTCCGATGAGGGTCCCTCAGGAACGGCGCTTCCGTACATGACCGATGGAAAAGGCGGGATCAGGTAAACGACATGCAAGACGCGCAGCCCTGAGGGTCTCGCTGCCATGTCTGCGTCTCTGGCCAAGTCGAGCTCCGTTCACAATGTCTCGTCTTTTGGTGCTGCAAATCGACTAGTTTGAGCCACGGAACGGAGTGACGGGGCGACGGGGGCTTCTGCCCGCAACATCAGTCCGCCGACTGGACCATTCGGCTGCCGGAAAGCATGGTACGCATTTTTGGTCTGGGGCAAGGTGCAGACCAGGGACGCGCCGGTCAAGGGGTGACTTGTCCTTGACTAACAAACATGTCCGTTTTACCTAGGCTGAACGATTTATTACTCTTGCGTTTGTCAGTCTTGTGTATTGGTATCCGCCTTGTGGTCAATACCTTGCTTGGCTGGCTATGGCACGTCGTCCTCGAATTCAAGTTCATTCTCGGCCGTCCCCAGAGTACGATTGTGGATGTACATCGACCAGGCTCAGGTAAGGAATACGTGAAGTGCGTTGTATGGGACATGGTGGAACGCCCGGGCCTGGCGCTCACTCATTACCCGCGGCCACCTCGTAGAAATTACCCGCGGCCTGCGGTGGTGACTGTCTTTGATAATCCGCAGCTTGCGAGAGAGTAGAGCCTGACATAAGCAACAGCGTCTGCTGACAGCGATGTAATAGGTACTCCGTACTTCGTACCGAAATTGGACGAAGCCCTACGGCCCCTGCCAGCTGCTGGGAGCTTGCTGCAGCGGATGGAGTCGGCTTGTGGCGATGGTCGTCGTGTCATTACGTGGAAAGGCATCGATCATTCCTCCAAGCAGGTCCTTCGCCTGGCTCAAGGACGGCATTGCCAGCGAGGCGGCTTATCAATTTCCAATCAAAGAGAGAGCAAGTGCAAAGATGCCGTGCCAGTTGGCATGATTGTCCCTGGCATGCGTGCATGCCTTGGTGCGGGCTTGCGAAGTAAGGTCAACAGCTGGAGAAGCCGTCTGCCGTGGACGCCAGCTTAGCGGCCGTCGCGACTCAATGACCACATTGTCTGGGATGTCGTGTGTAGTGCGTCGTGTATCCGTAGGGGCACATGTGTCAAAGGGCATGGAAAGTCAAGCTTCCCGGATTTTGCTGTGCGGTTTGATCGATGACATGGAAGGCAGGGCGGTGCCGTGCAGGAACTTCAGCCCTTGTGTGGTCGAATCGGGACCCGCCAAGACGACATCTGCAAAGAGAAAAGCGGCTTTGCGAACGGCAGTGGACAGGGCATGGCTGGCTGCGTCCTGGCGCGAGGTAATGTGAGATTCAAGATGCGACTGCGGGCCCAAGACGGAGGGGCATCGGCGAGTGAGCACCCACACAGCATCTTTCTGAGCCCTGTTGGCGCGCTTTGGAGGGGTTCGCTACGCAGGGTTAGAGCCTTAGAGTCGAAGGCCAAGACGGGGTCTGCACAGGGTGGACAAGGGCCGTCGTGTGGACTGTGTGCAAGTCTTGGAAGGTCTTGGACGACCTCATGGCGTGTGACAGGATTCGCAGAAGAAGCTTGATGGGATTTGTTTGAGAGCGAGAGGCAGAGAGAAGGTTCCGTGTGTGTTTCGTTGGTCCTGAATGCCTGGGCAATTGGTGAGAGCGATTGGCCAACCAATTTTCGTAATGTTGGCTCGAAGTCTTTTCTTGCTGTTCTGTGTTTCTCTCTCTCCATCTCTCGCCCCTCAGCTCGGCTTATTTCGGTACTTTCAGAGTTTGTGTGAGGTAAAAATTCGAGAATGGGGAAATGAGAAATGGCGACAAAAAAAAAGAGGTGAAGAAAAAAGAACGTCTCTAGGTACGTCTGTAGAGTCGCGGAAGGTACAGGAAAAGAATGAGGAGGGTAGGTACTCGAGTACGTGGCTTCCTGCGTACAAGGCAGGTCCTCTTTCCTGCAGACGCCCAGTATCGCGGCAAGCGCCATACTGTCAAGTGATATCAGCCGCATGCCTCCCCCGCACAGTGCCTGCGCAAGCCGATGACGTTTGCAGGAGCGGGTTGAGTACTTGCAGACCAAAGTCAGCAAAGCCCAGGAAATACCAAGCCGGCAAGAGGTACCGTACCGTTCTCCGCTGTTCTCCATTCTTCATCGGCCCCAGAACGAGAAAGTCTCCCCTTCCTTTTCTTCGGTTTTTTTTTTTTTTTAATTCCCCCCTTGCTCAATGTTATGGCCTTGTTTGCATGTTTCTCTTCATTGTTTATCCCATTGCTCTTACTTGTCTAATCCTTCTCGTTTGCAGTCTTTACTTTGCTGTGTATCGCAGTCCGGTCTGACCGTGTAGATGTTTGCTTGTTCTTGCCTTCCACTTGCCTTGTACTTCAAAAGTAAGTAGTTCACATTGTGTGAGAAATGGAGAGTAATGGCACTACCTACCTTACTTACAAAAATGAAATCTCGAAATAAGGAAATGAGGAAATGGAAACCGCCGCTTCTCCAATCATGTGGAGCCTCCCAACCAAACCGCATTGGATCTCGGCTTTTCTCTTTCGCAACTTGTCTCCTCGACTGCACCGTTCGTACCCTGAACCCTCTCGCATCTCCGAACCTCCCTCTTACTCGCTGGGAAGTCGTTGGCTGTATGTGCTTGACTACTTGCTAGCCGCTGCTGCACGCAGCGTAGTCCTTGCCGTCTCAACAACACGCCGCTCTTCCTTCTCCCATCCTCCATTTCCCCAGGTCGTGTGACTCTCAGTCTTGAGACTAAGGTAGAAGGCTTTCGGGTTTGTCTTGAACTGCGCAACCACACAGCCATGGAGCCCCCATGCACTTGTGTAACGTTTCTTGGCATCCACTCCTTGCCTTCTCATCCCCCATCTCATAATCTCATTCTCAGCAATGAGCTCATGGTCTCCCCATTCCCCTTCATCGACACCATTGGCTCGCTATCAAGCGTCTTCTCCATTCCTCGCTGTTAATCCTCCGCTGCCTCGCCGCCGACATCCGCAACTCCACGCCAGTGTTCCATAAGTCTAACCAGCCTCAACCCTCCTTCTCCTGCTCTCGTTTTGTCATCCCCAGATACACTTTGCTGGAGGTTACAGTGCAAAACACTTCAGGTGAGGCCCAGTTGAAGCGCTCCCAGACTTAGCCGTCTGCAAATTACCTGTACAATCCAGGGCTTGGTCTACAACTCCGACGGCCTGGCTCCAAGCCTCCAAGAGCCTCGGTTTGGTGCCTCTCATCCGTACTAATAACTCTTGAAGGATGTCTCCGTACCTCTCCGCAAATCACCTCCGTGAGCCCACATGGTTGTTGCGACCCATGCACCATGAGCCATCCCCTTTCGCCTGTTGCATGCAGTGGTGCCGCCGCACTCTGTCAGTACTTTAGTCGGACATGCGGCAGACACGAGCAATCAGAGACATGTCAACACAAGACGAACCTGCCAGCACCCGTTCCAGATTGCCGGTACGCTCGCATCATCTTGTTGCCCATGGACCATCTTATTCTCGCTAAGGCGGTACATTCTCCCCCCATCCCCCGGCCCCTCGCTGCCGTCTTATGGCTTCACTGGTGAACAGAGACACACGCAAGCAGGCAGGCAGACGATAGTACCTACTTGTTCGTACAGACATAATCCTGCCACCACTTGGGCAACGCGACCACAACACACAACACTCCACTCCTGCATTTTGTCTTTCCGCTATGAGGCATTTCCAATCCATGTCTTTCAGCCCCCTCATTGACTACTCACATAGTACTTGCAATAACTCAATTCGACTCGTCTTTCCGATGCTACGGCCGCGCCCGTTTCTGTGCCTCTTCTCTGGGGACTGGCGCAACTCTCGGCTTTCCTCATTGGCTCACACTAAGACTTGGATTCGATACTCGACTGCTTGCTCCAGTCTCCAGATGACCTGCGGACTAGCTCAACCAAACGCGCCGGGTATCACCTTGGTTCTCTCCTAGCTACAGCAGCCATGTTAGTTGCAAAGCTGTCCAACCGTCACGGCCTCGGAGGTCAGAGCTCTCTCTTTCTCTCTATCTGCCCTTCACACCCATTTCTGCCAAGCTTTTTTTGGTTGCTGGCCCTGCCTCCCATATACCTACTTACCTGACGGCATGTGAGGTTGAGTTGGGGTGTCTGCACCACTCTGCAGGACGAACAATAAGCATGGGATAGCTGCAGCTGGCGGCCTCTTAATTGCGGACCTCTGCCCCAGGCTCCTCCTCCTACCCGGCTCGGCTTGCTTGGCTTGGCTTTGCAGCTCTCATTTCATCCCATGAGCAGTAGCTGCTGCAGTCTGCAGCAACAGCACCAGCACCAGAACGACTTCCCCTCACCGTCTCGACAGAGTTCCACGGCCTCGAGCGGTTAATTCACTTACTCCTTCCTGGAAAAGGCTTGGCACCGTCCATTCGGGGAAACTGGAAACCGGGGCAAGTATCCGCAAGACACAAGCTTGAGTTCCACACTCAACCGAAAGTCCGCAGACCACGACAATCGACCCATCTCGGGCGCAGGCGAGCGAGTAGACGCCGCGCGGGGAAGGACGAGGAAAATGCCCTGGTATTGGTGCCAAGAACAAATCACTTTTCCCAGTCGTGCTCTGACTAGTCTCAGTCTGTGTATGCCGGAACTGGCTTCTAGTCTACGTCGTAAACTTCCCATGTGCCTTCACCCCGCGCCAGGCGCTCCTTTGGCGCGAAAGACGGCATGCGCCTCTCGGATGTCCCAAGAAGAAACACTGCCGTTGATATGTTTGACAACAAAACCAGAACATGAACGTCACCACCTTCCGGTGCGGTTCAACGGAACCTACGTGCCTACGTATGTAGCCTCAGGCTCGTCCTCTCATGCCCCAGCCGACGGATTGGCGGTGATGTAGATACCACCTTACCTCACTTCACCTTTGTAATACCAGGCAACCCTCGTGCAAACAAGCTCACAGCTCAGTGGCTCATTTCGTTTACCTAGCAGTTCGGCGCATTTTGTGAGTACTGGTGTCACGCCAACACGGCGGCACCCTCCCGTTCTGCAGTGCTGCACCAAGCCGCCCGGCGGAAACGTCAGCCGGAACTGTTGGCGACGCATGTGCCCGGCCGGCCACCTACACGGGTAGATAGGTATCAAGATTTGGTTCTCTCTCCTTCAGACCTCTGCAGAAGGGATATGTCGTCTGTCTGACCCTAGTCGTCGCGTCCCGATGGAACTATCTGGCGGGATTGGCTCAAACGGTCTCATTCTCACGCTCAATTGGCTATGCCAGCTAATCAACACATCGTCTGGTGCAATTTGAAGGTGCATCCCGAGCATCCCAAAATCCCATCCCCCATCGCCTTTCCCCTTGTTAGTGCCCACAGCAACTACACGGGTACCTGAGGTGTTCATCGGGACTCACTAGTCAGCCCTACTGCGATCATGTACAGCTCCGTATCTCACGCGCCTGTGTCTGTGTTCACCCTTCCCCATTCGCCTCCCCCTGTTCTTTCTTATCTCTTCCCGTCACCAGAGAATAAGTGAACAGTGAACGGGGTGGACCGTCGCAAGCCGCTGGCCTGACCGGTCCGGTCAGGGGGGGTGGGGGTTGCCGGTGGCTGGCGGGAGAGCGGTGAGCACAACCTCCGTCGCGTTTCCGCTCACCTTTTTCCCCCAGCAGTCGCCTCCCGTGGCAAAACTCGGTTGATGGAAAGAGATTTCGATGCTTTATAATCGGCATTTCGTGATTCGGTGTGCTCTAGATACCTACAGTCTCAGCACGTGGCAAGCCAAGAGTTGCTTTAGGGGGTCTGAACCTGGTGGTCATCTTTCAATAGGGTGTTCCGGCTTTCAGATATAGAATGCCTGTCTAGGGTAACCTTCATATCAGTTCTCATGAGTGCTATGTCGCCATGCATGCGAGAACAGAGAGCGTCGCTCGTTGGGCTCGGCTAAAGCTTAGCCTGTCCTTACATTGTCTCAATATCACTCTCTTATGAGCCTCTACTCTCACCCGTTGACTTTTGGATAGTAATGCTCTCGGGTGAATGCGGAGTCCTCTTGGTCCTCCCATGGAGAGATATGACGAAGAAGGGAACAGGAACATGTACTTATTCTCAACACAGTGTGTGTGTGTGTGTGTGTGTGTGTGTGTGTGTGACAGCGGACGAACGACTCATTCAGAAGGCTAGGTAGGTATCAGCCTGCCTTGAACTCGGCTGGAGCTGAAGTGAGACCTTGTGGTTTTGGTAAGCTTTGTGGGTGGTGTGCTGAGACACTGTGAGCTGTCTCTGAATGATTGAGGGGGGTGAGGTGCTGTACATTTCTGTCGTTCTCAGCCGCATCAAATCCGGTTGTTTTGTTCGTCATTGCTATGGACAGGCAAGTTTCAAGGTTGACAACATGCATCCCCTTTGGGAGTGCGGACTCTATCTTTTTCCCCCCTACTCTGCGCTGCTGCTGAGGGATATGGTGTTATTTTGGGCACAGTCAGCCACCCTTAGACTTCATCTTTTGCTCAAAAGTATATGACGGCAAGTCGAGATTATTGGCGTTCGTGGGAGAGGGATTTATAGTTGGCTGTAGTACCTAATTCGACTGGCCCGGCTGGGTTATGATCAGTGTAATTTGTTATATTCGATAGTCTCGAAACACCAAAAAAGAAATCATTTGTTCGTCCCAATCAATGGAAGAACGGGCAGAGCACCTCTTAGATAGTGGCTACTAGATCTTGATGATTCAGCTTGGTACTTATACAATATTCAGCTGTTGGAATGGTCGATAATAGACATGCAATATGAGCTCATTCTATCATGCTTGGTACTGGAGGAAGTGGTCTTTTGCCTGCTGGTAACCTCTTTCATGTGTGTTTCGAAATAGGTGTGGCTGATAGGTAGGGAGAACAAACTCGCAGAATTTTTATGCTAAATAGATACGCAGTGCTTTGGTGTGCTACATCAGTTATGATGTGCCAAACAAGTTATATGCATCCATCTATATAGCTCCGAGAAGACTATTTCACCCTTGTGTATAGAATTATAGCTTTTAGGGCCTGTTCGTTTGCAAATGTAACTCGAGACCATGGATCTTATGGACTTTGCTAAAGGGGACGTTCCAAACTGAGATCGTCATGATCTGGACAGGATGTTGCGTCTCTGAGAGATCAGATGTACTATGTCATCGTGCCGTATTTACAGAAATCCGTATATGCAAGTAGACCTTTCAACTGTTTGAGGGATCTCTGAGCTCGACGCTACAAGCACCATCATGGAAAAGAAAACTGGCCACGTCCATAGCGAACTTGAAAAAAGCCTTCCCACCTCGTACTTATCCGCCCGCCGAGGCTGACAGTATCATGCAGAACGCTCCTCATCCGAGATGAACATATTGTCCATCAACTGGTCTCCTTCCATGATTTGTATTTCATCGTCTTTGGTCGCGAGGAAAGTAAGCTTTGATACTCCAAAATCAGAAACGGTACACGTGCTGAAATTGCCATTGAGGTAGACGCCGCTGGAGCTGGAGCTTCCACCGTCCGTACTGTTGAAAGAGCTAATGGAGTAGTTGGTCGCGTAGTACAGAGACATATCGATGTTCGGGATGCCTCCGCCCGCGTCCACTGACTTCCTTCGGTATTTTGCCATTCTTGGCCGCTGGTCGTAGCTGAATTGTTCTTATGGGTTCGTGTCTGGACTACTTATCCAACAGCATCAATGGTGAACGTAGTTCCTGCTAAACTCTTGACAGAGAAGAACTGGACTGATCTGGCTCAAATCTAGGGACATGTTGACAAGGCCAGAAACCGTCAGTTTTGGCATCGTGCTTGGAAAGTCAGAACCCACAGCCATAGAATAGGCGTTGTAGAACTGTACATCAATGGTCTCCTCCAAATAAGAAGCCAGGTCTTAGTAATATCACTTTCCACTCGAAAAAAAGTTAGGGCCTGAGTTCCCGAGAAAGGGCTCACTGCAGCTTTTCCTTAATCTCGAACTATGTCTACGTACATGCCCGCCCCGACTTCGTTGCTAGTCATATGTCGCCATTGCGAAGCCTTAAAAGCGTGCAGTCTCTTTGAAAACGTCATTTCAACACCTGGAGAGTTCACAGCGGCGTCCCAGTATCGTAGAATGCTGGAAGATTTAACCCTGACACTGGCGTTAGTGGTGTATTTCCGAACCAGTGTGAGGTTGAGGCCAAAAGTCAAAGTAAAGACCTCAGATGTGGCGTTCTTGCTTGGGAGACCAATGGGTATACTTCGATCTGGAAAGAAAAATTGGCTTTGAAAGCCTGCAAGCAAATGGTTGCTTGCCGTCTTTCATCTTGTCTGGGCCGATGACGAGATGGGGGGGGGGGGGGCTGGGTTTGTCTCTCTACTACTTCAGCAAAGCTATAGCATAATAAGCTACCGTTATTAGCATGAAGCTATAGTCTATCTTGATCTGATCTACCTCTCCCGTGTTAGCTTCAAACCCTAGGTTGACAAACCCGTAACTGGGTCTTGTCATACTGATCCCAACGTCAATCCCGGGTAAGTTGGGTTGTTAGTGATGGTATTGCGTCTGCCCCAAATGTCAGAGATCTCAAGACATCATGTTGATCCAGTCGACTTGGGCCTACATCCCTTTCAATTCAAAGTGTCGGAGACATTAGTATGACGATGGGGTCGTACATGTCTCAATGTAGCCTTGACTTCTCACGTTGATGGCTGTGCAAAGCTCTCTGAAAGAAATTAGATAGCATGTTTAGGATGGCATTGCCGCATTGGAAGCATGTTGCAAACAATAAGATGCTCCAGCTCCTGGGCAGTTGAAGGCATCAGGGCGAAATCCGCGATGGTTGATCGAGAAATGTAGGCCAAAAGCGTTCGCAAAGGTATCATTAATCTCTCATTATATTGTCTCTCATGATATTGAAATTCTAAGCCCAATCCCGATACGTCCTTCTTCAGAGGCGCATCTCATGCGTGGCGGGCTTGTTCGTAAACGCAAGAATTGAAAGTCGACCTCGTATGTTGCTGCTCTGAACAGACCTCTGTGATCTGTTGGTGACTCCCAGGCCTTGACGGGCAGAAAAGGGTGTGCATCTCCAGTGTATGTATATGCTACCTAGCAATTGGCGTGAATGAGAGCAATACGTGATTCCATGCGAAGTCATCGAGGCCGGCAGGGATGTGAGAACTTTGTCTTGTCCCCATGCAAAGCTTGAAGGCTAGGACTCGACTTCAATCTCAATAGTGTAAACCTAGAGGGCTCTGCAGATTCACCTAAAAAAGCGCATGGTGCTTGCGTAGCGAAGAGAACATACTTGATGAGCGATTGGAGTCGGCGGACATGATCCAGGGCAAAGGCGGCTACCATATGGGTCGGAAGCGTGGTGGTCGGCTGGTGTTGTTCCCGGTTGTGAATATTTGGAACCAACAACCAACTTCCCTGGGCAGCATCACGGGTGGGTCGGCAGGCTTGATTAAGCCTGCGCATGATTATCACGTTGGTTTGCGGTTATCCGCGGTCTTCTGCCCCGTACCTGTACATTTCTCGAGACCAACTCTCGGAAACTGAATTTGCAATTGGAATGATACGTGGAGCAGGCTTTCGTGTCCACAGCCTCCTAGAACTTCTCGTTTACCAAATAGAACAGTTTATATCCAATTGAGGGGGGCAAAGAAAGGTGTAAGTTGATTTGTCGAAGCACGAGGCGAGGTACACTAAGGTATCTAGACTTAAGATACTAATTTGATTGAACCACTTCCTGAACGTTCTGTCAACTCCACTACGTCCGCCGGGGGTACGGATACCAACCGATACATTTACCTTGTTAGCGCAACTTGACCAGGGTCCTGCGGTTCGCTCCAACAAACATTCACACGTGGGACATTGAGTGGATTGTGTACTTAACATACAGAAGACCCCAAAGCGCAAGGCTCATGGCCATTATCGAACAAGCAGACACCGCAATATCTGGTACAGATCTCGCATGTACATTCCGCCTTCCATGGCAAACTCCCAGTCCAGCCTGCTCTCCACGGCGTCTTCATCTGTCATCGACTTCATCGCCGCCCCACCCCTTGAGATGTCCGCCCTCATCTTCTCGCATCTTGACAACTGCGACCTCAAAGCCCTGCAGTTGACCTGTAAAAAACTTGCCAACCAAGTCCGTCCTCATCTCCGCTTCAAGTGTGTTTTTATATCCACTAGTCCCCTCAATATTTAAGTCTTTCGCGCCATTGCAGAAGACAACACCTTTCGGCGTGATGTGTGAGAGATCATCTGGGACGATGCTCGCTATGAAACACCACCGCCTCCAGATCCTAGACTGCGGCACTTGGACGAAGACTTGTATGATTCTGATGATTCCGATGATGAAGACGGCCGGCCAGAGAAGCCCCCGCGTGGCGTTACTTTCTGGTACTTCAGACACTGCAAAGACAACATCGAGTACTTGGAGATTAGACAGGATTATGATGCTGAGACTCTACACCAGCATCTCGAGACTGCGAAACAGCTCGAGTTCCAACTCCCTCTCGATATCGCCTACACACACTATCAGGGGCTACTCGCAGAACAGAACAAAGTGCTTTCTACGTCGGCCGATATAGCCGCGTTCGAATGGGCTTTGGAGGACGATAGGTTCCCGAGCCTAAGAAGAATCACCTTGACACCCGCAGCGCATGGCATTCTCTTTCATCCGCTATACCCGACACCTGATATTCGCGCTCTACCCTACGGCTTCAACTACCCGCTTCCTCGTGGCTGGCCAGTCCCTCCTAAGGACGGAGATAAAGCGATGTATGGGGACTGGAAGAGCGAGGATTACAAAGAATGCTGGCGAGGATTCCGCCATGTCGCCAGAATCCTTGCTCGGCAGAAAAGCACAAAGATCGAGGAGCTCATGATTGACGGCAATCAACTCTGGTCTGGGTTTGCCTGCAGCATTTTTTACGCGCCAGAGCCGTGCGTCGAGTATGACAACCTCATCGCCGCGATCAAGAAGCCAGGCTTCACAACTCTCAGGCTGAGCCTCATCGTAGGCGGGCAGGAAACTAACAACTATTTCACTTTCCGTAACGGGCGCCTGAGAAAAGCTCTAGAGGCGGACTTGCGACACTTTTCTCTCAAAACTGGCGAGGACGACGATCTCGAAAACGGGAACTTATCCTTCGCACTGGGTGAGAGATCACTTTATCCCTCTGCGATCCGTCGTCCCCGTCGAAACATGGAAGAATTTGGCGCATTTCGGGCTGACGCGCTGGCTTGTGAGGCAGTCGGATCTGCTCGACTTCCTCGCTGCGCTCTCGCAAACTCTACGCTCTGTAGAACTAAGCTTTTTCTCGTTTATGAAAGGCCACGGTAACTATAGGGAGCTGCTTTTTGCGATACGTGATACGCTGGGATGGCAGGAGCGAACAGCCAGTACGAGACCTCATCTGCTCATCCGAGACTTTCCCGGTGTCCCGTTGGCTGGGCGGGCTGTTTGGGTGGAGGACGCGCCGCAGAGATTCTTGTACGAGGATGGCGAGAACCCGTATCCGATACCTCCAAGGAATGCCGTGGTAACGGGGCAAACCATCACTTGGAAACCCGGAAGTTTGACAGTTGGCCATGGTTTCGGAACGGAGATTGACGCATTGGAACCGCGATTTGAACGACCTTACGAGTCGGCGGATAAGCTCATTGAGATGGGGATCTCCAGGGATTGGAAGGGGGCTTTTTAGATTCCATATATCAGGCTTTATGCTTCTAGCAAGCCATCCTGGCGAGACCGGAAGGGGTGAACATGAAATGGTTATAGGAATTGAAGGGGATGGGTGCGAGCTCGCGGGGAAGATGGCTGAAAGCTGCCTCGTACTTGGTGAAATGGAATTTTCTTCTGAAGCTTGTTGAAGGGGACAAGCCAGATGGACGCGTAAGTGAAGGGGAGATAATTGTATCGAAGACAAGAGTTTCGAGACTCTGTACCCACTGCCGGCGTACGCAAGAGAAATGGCGCATTTCCATCACTGAGGCTATAGAGAGGGAGATCTCTGATAACACTTTTCGTCATGAGATTCGTCGACAGAGCATTTCGGGTAGATGTATCCGTAGTAAGAAGCTCCATAATAAGAATGACCATCTTGACTGAGGTCTCACTTGTTTGGCTGTTGAATTCAATGCTTTTAAATTGGAATCGAATGGCCTTCCACGCTGGACATCAGATCATCCCAGTAAGACGGCAATGGGCAACCATATTAACCTAAAGCTTATTCCATATCCGCCCATACTCCCAAATTTCTCTCGCCGTCCCGACTTCCCAGTGACAACTCCGTTCAAAAGGCCCCCAGCCTTAGTGCCTAAAATCCGACCTGTTCATCGTAGTCACATCAATAGTCGACCCCATCGCCGCAGGCCCATACGCCCCGCCCTCCATCGAAGCCATCATCTTTCTCATCGGCGTGCCATCCTGCCCTCCCGGACCCCTCAAATTCACCGCCTCGGCAAACATGCGCAGCTGCATCGGGAACCGCGGGTCGCCATATCGTTCAATGATATCAGCCTTTTCCACAGCGGACCCCAAGTCATAGTAAGCATCATCATTGCCCACCTCCTCCTCCTCGTCCGCCCCGCCCACGCGCTCGCACGCCGCCTGCTTCTCGGGACTCCACCACGCCGGCAACAACCCCTTCCGCTTCGCCGCGTTCTTCAAAAACCGCCGGAACCCCTCGAGCCCATTCTCCGCGCCGCCGTAGATGCTGTCCTCGGCCGCGTCCCCGTCGATGTTGTACTCGTCCTCGACGTGCAGGCGGTACGCGTCGATGAGGAGGCGGTAGACGTCCTTTTCGGGCCGGTCGTGGAGCCAGGTGCCGTTGTCGAGGCGCGTAAAGGGCCGTGTGATGGGTTGGTCCAGGCCCTTTGGCGGGGACAGCGCGGTGCCGGCGGATGTGGGGTTACCCGCACCGGCGCCGGTGGGACCACCACCTCGGGGCTGTGCGGAGGCGTCGGTCCGGCCGCACGTCTTTTTGTGGGATTTCCAGTCGGCTTTTTGGCAGTCGCGGGAGCAGTATGGTGTTGTGGCGCACTTTGCGCAGTTTTTGAGGTTGACCTGGGGCGGCCCTTTTTTACAGACTGTGCAGGACGACATGGCTGCTTTGGAGAGGCTTCACCCTTGAATGTTGGAGGTTTAGGTATCTGGGAAGAGATCAAGATAATGTTCACTGTCGTCGCTTGACGAACGGCGGTTGGCCTATATACCCAAGTAAGTACCAGGGTATCTGCCCCCCCCCCCCCTTGGGGCCACCACGGTTGACCTGAGATACCTTACATGCACGTACGTGGCTATCTTACCATTTTTGGCTATATCACGTGAAAACACCTAGTCAATCAATGGAGTTGAAGGAAGGGCGTTGAGAGTGTTCGAATGGCAGGCAGAAGTTGAACGTTGCATATAGAAGAGGAGAGTGGACTAAAGTGTGGAGAAATCAGAAAAGGAACCGATGGCAGTTGATTGTTGGTGGCAATCCTTTGAGGACAAGTGATATGCGACACGGGATAAGCAACGTATACTGGTAACTATTACGTGCCGTGCGGATTGAGAGAATCGGCATGCTTGTTCACCCAGGCTACCTTCAGCATCTCTAAAGACAGCTCTCGATTAAAGCACAGTGAACCTCGATGTAAGTGTTCGAATGTTGAACCAGGTGATCAATTCTGTCTCTCATAGTGGCCACGAACAGGTATCATATTCAAAAGGAAAGTTAAACCAGACAATCCGAGCGGTTTCCATGCTTGCCCGTAAAACGCCAGGCCGTATGCCTCCTCGGCCACTCACGTCTTGTCTCGCCTCCCAACGCTCTCAGCTCTCCTCCTTCTCGTCGGCAGCCTTGGCTTTCGAAGCACCCGTCATGCTATGAACCAAATCAGCGAACCGGCCCTTGGAGGCAGCCAGGTTCGTATCGGCCTTTGGCGTCCCCACGGGCGTGACACCAGCCGACGTGCCCTCCACGACATTGGCTACCTCCTTGTAATGCTCGCGGTCTTTAACGAAGCGCGTGAGGTACATGGTCTTCTGCCGCGTCTGCTTCCTCATGATGCGCTCCACTTCGGCCTCGTACGCCTTGTCATAGATGTTGAAGTCGACGTTGGTCGGCGATTCGGCCACGGCGCCGGCCGAGGGCTCGTCCTTGTCGAACTCATCCCGGGACCCGATGCCGATGCCGAGGATGCGAGGTTCCGAGTCGGACCTCTCGGGGGGCGCGGTCTTGGTGACATCGGCGAGGCTGTTCTTCTTGAGGAACTCACGGCGTTTCGAGAGGAGGGCTTCAATATCCTCGTGCAGTGCGCCCAAGCGGGGGGAGTCTGTCTGGGAGCCTTCGCGTGATTTGGCGTTTCTTTGCCTTGTGAGAATGTTCTTGAACTTGTGGATTGCTTTCATCTGTTATGGCTGTCAGCTTCTTTGTATCGTCGTAACAAGCATGGAGTGCGCTGCTCACCACGCATAGGAGATGGTTCATCTTTCGTGTGAAGGCGCGGTTGAGCTCAAGCTCGTTTGGGGGCTCCACGAGATTTGAGCAATTTTCTTCCTTTGATAGCAGAGGATCTGTCCCCTGTTTCGTAACCCACGGATGGTCCTAGTTCATGATCAGCAAAACAAAGGTACCCCAGCACTACAGAAGAAAAACTAGTGCTCACCCGCAGCTCGTGCATGTGAATACGTTTCTGGGGGTCCTTTTCCAGAATTCTGCTGATGAGGTCCACAAAATCGGGGTTTTCATCCTCGGGTAGCTCAGGGGAATCTGTCTTGATAGCTTCGTACATCTCAAGCACACCCTCTTGCTCGAAGGGAATTTTGCCATAGCGTAGACAGTACAGCGATATGCCCATGGACCAGATATCAGTGGCCTTGCCATCAACGTCGCCATGTCGGACCACGCAGAGCTCGGGTGCAAGGAATGCCGGGGATCCTGCCGATTTAGCCGTCTTCATGGGGTCTCCGGGCTTCTCAAACATCTCGGAGACGCCAAAGTCTACAATCTTGAGCACATCGTCGTCGGTAAGGAGAAGGTTGTCCGGCTTGATATCCCGGTGAATGACGCCTTGCTCGTGTACTAGGCGGTGTTAGCCTGGCTGGTCAGGGCATACGTGGCAGCCGACTTACAGTATTCAATGCCTAGAATCAAGTCTCGGAACCAATAACGGCATGAATCTTCGCCATATGGCTTCGCCTTTTCGTTGAGCCCGACCTTCATCACGACTCCTTTCTTGCACATCTCAAGGACCATGTACAGCGAGTCCTCTTCCGGGTCGTCCAGTACTTCAATCAGTTGAACCAGGTTCGGGTGGTTCAGCTTCTTCATGATGGCAATTTCCTCTCTAATAAAGAACAGTGCATCGTTGACGTTCCAACCAGCGTTGCCCTCCTCTCCAAAATGAGGCGATAGCGGCGCGTTGAGACTAACACGGGGAGCGAAGCGCTGGGGTCGGCGAGCGCCCTGACGCAGAATATTGGACTGCGCGCGTTTACGAAGCCGGACTTTAGAGAACTCCTTGACGGCCTACGGATGGACGTGAGCATGGGAAGGGGCATCACTTGGAAGCTTGGGAGGCTCATACGTATTCGGTGCCAAATTGGTCGGTCGCGAGGTGGACAGCACCATAGGACCCCCTGCCAATTTCTTCTTTAATGACATACTGGTTGATGCGGTGGTGACTCGAGCCATCCTGAGCCTCGGTACCATATTCCGTCACGGCGTTGAGCGTTTCCTATAGCAGTTTCTCGGTGAGTTTCTCTGGATCATTGCTGTGGTTCGTCGTCATCGCAGCTACCCCGCCCCCACCACGCTCAACCGGCGGCAGCGGGGCAGGTCGAAAGCTGAGCTTTTCAACAAAGCTTGGCGAAACAGAACACACGCACCTTGACTTCACGATGAGCAGATGGCGTCCGACGGTGATGCCTCATGGGGCTCTGAAACTTTGATGGTTGGGCAGCCGAATCGGATCTGTACCGCATAGGGCGAGCATGAGGTTAGAGCAGCTCGCCGCGCAGTGGTGGAGCGCGTGGGGAAGGCAGCGCAAAGTTGCAGCGCAGAGAAGCAAAGTGAGTAGTGCAGTGACTGACGTACATGGGGGCGAGCGGCGGACGAGTCTCAGCGGGCCCTTCGCCGTGGAACCCTACCGCAATGGTAGGTGAGGACATGCTTGAGGTAGCGAGGTTCGTCGAGGCCATGGCCGTCGTCGGCGGGCTCTGAGGTTCGCCGGAATCCGTCATGATTTCGCCTTGGGCGAGGCTGGGGGGTTGTAGATGGAAGGGTGTGTTGTAAGCTTGACGTTATGTTGGAGAAGCAATGTTGGAGAGGCAAGGTCCGGGTGGGGTGAGAATGAGAGTGAGAGTGAGAGAGCTAGCTACAATGCTCTGCTTTTGCTCATTCGGAGCTTTGCTATTCAGAGTGGCCGAGCTACAAGAGCACCCCAAAATGCACGACACAACTAGGTAGGTATGACGAATAGGCGCGAACGACCGGGCGAGCGAGTGATGGAGCTGACGATGTTTTGAACCTGAAAGCGCGCGTGTGAGGTGAGAAAAGCGAAAGCGACGTCAAAAGAAAGGAAACAATAAGCAAGGGCACTAGGCTTCGCGAAAACGAGACGACAGCTGAGCTTTAAAACCCGACCGAAAGGAAACAGGGCCCGGGGGTGGGAAGAGAGAGAGAGAGAGAGAAGTACTTTGTATTAGAACGTGGGAAAAAAATAGGCGTTTCTCCTTCAGCTCTTCAGGCTCAGAGTGTGCCCCTTCCAGCCCCCACGTCTGTTATTTTCCCCCAAGGATCACCTCGCAGTCTCCAGTGTTTCTCAACGCCCTACGAAAAGCCCAGGTTCCGTCTTATCCATTTCCACGGCTCTTCATATCCATGCCCAGCGTCGTTGCCTGTTGTCATTGGACGCATCGTAGAGTTCCCATCATGGGCTGACTAGTGTGCTCCCCTCGTAGGGCCAGCTCCGAACCCCTCCTTGCGCCAAAGAATTACGTTCCGTCCGGGGGGTCCACCACAAGGCAGAGTGACACCACCCCCTGCCAGCATCTGTAGGTACCTTACGCAATCGGACCAGCTCCAGCTCCAGCTCACAGTTGCAATTTCAAAGGTCCACCGAGGTACCTGCCGACCGAGACAAGCAACGGTAGCCGCATTTCGGGGCTGGGGCCACTGAACGGCCGACCACACTCAATCGTCCCGCCCAAGCTGCCAGCTACCGTACCTTCATGGACAACTTGCGACATTCAACCCGTGATACCCAACGACACCGAAAACCAGCGAATCCATTGACGGCCCCTAAGACGACCAGATCCGATCCCCGAGTCCTCTAGATAAAGAAGCAACCCGCAATCTACGTACCCTGCACATCCCTACGGCATGCGCCTCTAAACAACCATCCCCATCCCTTTCTGCCTCGCCTCGCCTCGCCTCGTCGACAAACGACACCAAAACCCGGGCGCAAACACGCGCAACCCCGCGCCGCCGCCGCCGCCGTCGCGGCCATCCCCCTAGCCCAAAATGGTCGTCTACTCCTTCTACATCTTCGACCGCCACACGGAATGCATCTACTCAAAAACCTGGCTCCCCGCCGAGCGTCCGCCATCCCAACAACCCCCCTCCTCCGCCGGAACGGGCGCCGCACCGCCATCATCACAGCAGCTCGGCCGCCGCAGCCAGGTAAACTCGGCCAAGGACGACGCCAAGCTCATCTTTGGCACGGTATTCTCCCTCCGCAACATGGTCCGCAAGCTCGGCGGGGACGACGACGCCTTCATCAGCTACCGCACCTCGGCCTACAAGCTCCACTACTACGAGACGCCCTCGAACCTGCGCTTCGTCATGCTTACTGATACGGCGACGCTGAGTATGCGGAATGTGCTGCATCAGATTTATATCAACCTCTGGGTTGAGTATGGTATGGTGACAACTCTCCCCGGGGGGGGGGGGTTTCCTCTCTTTTCCTGACAATGGGTCATGATATGCTGACCTCTTTTACAGTCGTCAAGAACCCTCTAGCACCGGCAGAACACAAGGGCGGCGAAGGCGTCAAGAACGAACTTTTCGAGCTTGGTCTGGATCAATTCGTCAGGGGCCTGATGTGAAGGATACCGTCCTTGCTGTTTGGCAGACGGATTAAAACACACAAAGAACAAGAAAACACCAAACTCAGAAAAGAGGCAATGCGTGAGCGGATACCCTTCATACTGTGGTGGGGGAGGGGGAGAATCCCAATAACCCAACACGGAAGAAATCGATGTGGAACCGCAACAAATTTTGCCAGACTGGCATCATGGAACAAAAGTGTCCACTGGAGGCATTGTAGCCCTTCAAACCGATCATGCACTTGACGTCTGAAGAAGAAAAAATCTCCCATTACAAACATAGATCAAAAGGGAAAGGCATCCCAGAACGACTGGGCGGCCTCTCAAGAACAATGAATCATCAGCAGAATCGCAGGTCGAGCGAAATGGATCAAAGGAATGGATGGCCGCTGTGCCATCTCTGGTTCTAGGCTTAGCCCTCGTATTTGTTGGTACAGATTTGAGAGATGAACCATTCATCTCTTGACCATAGATTATACAATGATACCTATATAGCTCCCTCTTTCTCTTGCCTTCCCAACTGTCCTGTCCTAAATCAACCCCGTGAATATCATAAAAAATGTCATAGCTAGGCTCACACGCCTCGAAACACAACATCAATCGAGGCCCGGGCCACATATACATGTATATCTCTCTATTTTGGATGGAAGGCTACTTGCTGTCCACCGCCCTCCCCCACGCGCTCTCAAAGCTAGACTGCGGGTTCACCATTACGAGGCTCTCCTCTCCGGTACCCTGCGTCGTGGCCTGCGTCTGACTGGGAAAAGTCGCAGCAGTACCCTGGCTGGTGCGAGGCACCTCGCTGGCCCTCACGTCGACGGCGCTCGCCATGATGCCCTCGTCGTCGTGGTGGATCTCATTCTCCCAGTTGCTCGAGTACACTACAGCCGCGAATCCCTCGAGATCGGCAACCTGCTCCATCTCCTGCAGGTACTCGTTCGGCATCCCGTTGCCAATGATGTGGGCTTGCCTCGTGAGGACCGAGAGGATCTTGGGCAGGAGTACCACCACCTGCGACGTGCGCGGCTCCGACTCGGCAAGGTCCGGCTTATCAAAGGCTGCTGACGAAAGCTTCTTATCCACGAGCAGGGAGAAGCCGGCATCGAGGATGAGCGTGAGCACGTGTGTGAAGGAGGGCGACTCGATCAGATCCGACGTCTCATCGAGCAGCCTTCTCACGGCGGGCGACGATGACGGCGAAGATTGGGACGTGGCGCTCTCAGAGAGCATCACGGTGCTCTCCTCCAGGATGCCCGACTCGCGTAGGACGTGATCTTCCTTGTCCCGTGGCGGGAGGAGGTAGGGCAGCCACTTTGCGGCCCTGCGCTCCTCGGGCGTGGTGCCCTCGACAGCCTTGCGCACCGCGAGAGTCAGCTCCGAGAACTGCTCAAAGCTGAGCAGGTCGCGCGGACTCAGGTGGCCAAAGACCTGGCGGACGGCGGCTTCGACGCGCTGACCGAGCTCCTTCCACCCCTCATTCAGGAGCCACCAGCTAAAGGTCAGGTAGCGGCGGTTCGTCTCAAAGTCGTTGCCGTAGGGCTGGTCGAGGCCGTCGTCGTCATTGTTCTCCAGACTGATAGTCGCTTGGGCCGTACCGGTCGCCAGGGATATAACGCTTGAGAGGTAGCTGCGGCGGCCGAGGAGGTTGAGTTGGACTCTTGTCAGCATCGTCAGCAACGCGAGGGTGTATAACAGCGTGAAAGCTCTCGTTATGGCTGCGATGTCAATGTCAGTACCTTCACCCTCTCTTGTCTGCTATCGCATCAGAAAGGCGTCACTCACAGCTGATGGTCAGATCATCCCACAACTGCCTCTTCGACTTCCGACTCTTCTGCGCCGCCGCCCCGCCATCCTGTTGCGCACCCTCGGCGGCCCCTCCCGCGGTGGCCGACGTCGGGGCCGGTACCGTCAACTGGCTTGCGTGTACGCCGCTCTCGCTCTGGACACTGCTGCTGACCATGCTCCGTCCGTCGTCTTCGGTCATGGTGGTATCTGCGATGCTCGGCGGGCTGCCGCTGCCGCTCTTCAGGCTCTTGGTCTGACCCTTCATCTTCTGGATCTCGTAGGTGATTTTCTCCGTGTTCATGGCCTCGAGTATATTCGTCGTCGCTGAGGGAAGGAGTGCGAGTACGGTAAAGGTGCAGTCTTCTTGGTTTTGCTCGAATCGGCGGCGGAGGCTGCGATTGGGGCACAGCGGTGTTAGTCGGGGGAGGGAGATCATGGCAGCTCAGAGAAGAGTATCTCGGGAATGTAGCTTACTTTTCCTTGGCGATGCGGTCGCTGCTCATGCGCTCGCGCGCATCGTTGATCTTGCCCATGACATACTGCGACACAATGTAGCCTGCGCCGACGACACCCACGCTGACAGCGAGGGGCGTCCTATTTCGGCGGAACCATCGCCGAGTGGCTTCCAGCATGTTTCGGTCTGGCGCGGCGAGCGACTCAATGTCCGAGGGGTCGGCCTGGTTCTCGATGGAAAGGTACGGTACGGCACGGAGTATGGTCGAGGGGAAAGGAGGGGATGGATCAGAAGGATTGAAGTTTAATACAGAATGCGAGAATAGCTAAAAGAACCCCGATTACAGCTTTCAAACCGGGCTGAAGAGTTAAAGAATCGAAGAAGGCGGTCGTCTTGCTTGGGGGATCATATGAAAGAAAGAAGACTGGGGGATTTTTTGCGTGTTAAACCCCCCAAAATTGGCTATTTGGGCGAGCTCTAGGAAGGCTGGTCGGCACGTAATGATAAGTTGGAGCAATTAAGCAGACCAAGAGGAGAGGAGCTCGCGCCTGACAGCCAGTGACTGACTACTGCTCTCTGCGAGTCGTGAACCGTGATTACCTCGGCCCAGCCACACCCACGTTCCCGCGTCATCTCAATTTAATGCCCGTGTTTCCCAACTCTCTTCCCCCAACAGCTGTGGCTGAAGTGCCGGTACCCGCAACCGCCGCCGCATCGAGTGCTTCCCCGGTAGTGTAGGCACATCACTGCCCGCCCTTGCTGCCCACCACCGACCACTGTCCAAGTATCGTAAGTACCTTACCAGACGGGCTGCTACTGCACAAGGCCATGGGACAGGACACTCTGCTCCCCAGGACCCAGCTCGGGGAACTTGGAAGTACCTTTCCCAACCAGGAAGAGCACCCCTGCTACCGATATCCCGTCCTCCCCCCCCGCCTCTCTCCCTTCCCTCCCTGGATCAACACTGCGGTAGTGACTCCCCGCTCTCTTCTGCCCGCCCGCCCCCTTATCGGTGCGGCGCATCAGTGCTGGGCTGAAGTGTGCCCCTCAGTAAGGTACATCTGACACCTTTCTTTGGGTCATTCCCTCACCTTACCTCAGGCAGAGGGAGAGGTATCTGTCACTCTCTCTCACTCCAACCGCATCTGTTTGTCTTGACATCCAACTTACCGAGCAAAATCCCTACTATAAACACAAAAGGCACGATGCAGCAGAGCAGCGCCCCAGAGTTCATTCTCGAGGCCTTTGCGGACCCCGCCTCCGTACGTGATGTCGTCAAAGGTACCTACCATTTCTCTCCCGTCCCCGTCCTCTTTCCCATAGGTAGCCCGCAGTTCGCGCGCCCCGCCAGACGTCATATCCGCCCTCAGAACGAACGACAACGCCTTCCGAACCTCTCAGCCTCGCGATGCGACGACGAGCGCCTACATGCCTGCCTCAACTCGACTTCCAGCCCGAATCCCCAGAACAATTTGTGACTAACACCTCATCACCAACCATGCAGGAATCCTCCACACAATCTTCTTCCACCGCTTCTTCCCCGCCGTCGTCCCCTACACCCGCGAAGTCCTAGACCTCACTCTCCCCTATGTCGACGACGTCGAGCTCGAGACCATGATCGAGCAGCGCGCCACCGCCCTCGTCCGCCAGCTCGACGCCGAGCGCTCCTCTTCCGGCTCCGGCGGTGGCAGCGGGGGCGGGCGCGGCCAGCTCACCGTTCAGTTCTTTGAAAAGAAGCGTCGCAAGGCTTGGCTCATGCGCGGCGACGAGGAGGTCTGTTGGGAATGCTGGACCGTAAAAGTCACGGTCGCGGAACCCAGGACGGAGACTGGTTGGTTCTACCTACCCCCTTTCCCTCTTTGGCAACCCGATAGGGAGGGGACACATACAAAGATGAAAGGCTGACCCGTTGCCGGTGAAACGTTCCCAGAGCGAGCCAAAGTCCGAAAAGCCATGGAGACGACGCTCATGACCACCGTCATGAAGGTTATTACGTTTGTCAACGCGCACAAGGACCACATCCCTCCGATAACGACGCAGGGGTCGAACCCGTTTCCCTACCAGATCAATATTAACCAAAAGGAGTCGGGGTGGGCTACGAGGATGGGCATTTACTAACTTTGCGCATTCGGTATGATGACACTGTGACACTGTAATGAGATGTTTTGACAAGATGCCTCTTGATTTTTTCGAGGATTTGATACGGATTTTTGGATGGTCTTTCCACGTTCGGCTTGGGGACGATGACATCAACGAACCCAGGATGACGATGGCGACGCTGCTGGCAGATATCGTAGAGGTAGTAGACACATTATGGCGTTCTGGGAACAAGACATGATTTACGAGGCATAGACATGTAGGACTTTGGGGAAATTTAGAGCAAGGCAATATGATACCCGTTCTTGAGTTCGAACATTGAAGACTGCAAGGGCACGCACGAGAGATGATCTTGTTGCCAGGTAAGCACATGGCCCTGCACAGTTGAAAGCCATGCTGGTTTGAACAAACCTCACAGTATTCATCAGCTCTCCCATGTACATGTTTCCATATAAAACAACTATGCAATGTCATGCATGGGGTATAGACATTCTACAAAATGTTCATGACAGTCACTTCATCATTGACATCATCAACAACATTTGCGAGACTCTGTATAGTGCGTGTCTCCATAGAATTGATCACTACCAGTGTGCTTAGCAAAAGGAGCGAAGCTAATACGCTACACATCCAACCCGGATTTTCCTACACAGCAAAAAGGACAACAACAAAATATAGCCTATTCCGGCTAAACAGTAATAAAAAAGCAAACGCGAATTTCCAGCCGGACCTAACCTGGTCCAAGGCCGACGAAAAGCAAAAGCAAAAAAACGCGCAAGAATCTCATGGTTGCCCTCCGTTCCTCTCAAGAATGATGATGTCCCTTCGCTTTCTCCTCCTCTGCCCACCGGAAAAAAAGAAGGAGAGCCAAGACATTATATGTGCACTGCTTCGTCATTATCATAAAGCAAACAATCATGGACAAGAGAATTGTGAAAGCCTCGAAGCCCGAATCAGACATTAGTCTTTAAAATCAGCCCAAAGTTTTTTGTGTTTCCCCCGCGCGCTCCATTATCGTGTGAAGTGTGTGTCGAAACAGGCCCTGAATGCCTGAATGCATCGGGACGTCATGCCAGTAAGTGTGTTCATACATCGTAACGGTCGTCATCGTCTCTCGTTGCAAAGAGATTAGAATTGCGTGGTGTAGCTTCGTCCAAATGCAGGCTTGCTGGGCTTGGAGCCGGAAGCCTTCGGCTGGGAGCCAGAGCCAATCTTCTCAAAGCCTTGCAGGATGTCGAGACCCGAGTACTCGGTGGTCTCCTCCGACAAGAAGTCTGTCGTGTCGAAGGAGAACGAGGGCCAGTCGCCCTCGGCCGCTACCTCGTAGAATGAACTAGATATCTTGGTCGGCGAGGGGAACCTCCATTGCACAGGGGCGTCGTTGTTGGCCTTGATAGGGGAAGACAGGCCGTCAAAGACCTTGCTGGGAGTCTCCCACATGGCGGAAGGTTGTGCGGGTGCCTTCAAGAAAGGCGTTGAGAGAACCGACTTGTTGCCGTTACCCGAGTCATGAGTATCGGCCAAGGCATTGGCGGAGTGAGTACGCTCCAGACGGGGTCGCTTTCCACCAGACTTCTTGGAGGGGGACTCTTGAGGTAGGCCGTCAAAGAAGTCGTTGTCCATGTCTTGGAAGATGTCAAAGTCACCAGCGGCCATCAGGTTGTAGTTGTAGACGCTCTCGTCCAAATTGAAAGCGGGGCTCCACGGAGCGTTGCCGTCACCGGTGCCGACCATCTTGCGGATCGGGGACTGCAGCATCTGGCGGACATTTTCGCGGTGCTGGCGGAGGTTGGTGTTGGGCGAGGCAGACGGCGGGGCCTTGGTAGGCGGCTTCAGTTTCATGGCGGGCGTGAGCGGTGGCAGCATCTGCCCTTGTTGGCGGAGCGGCGACGAGGACGGTGGGGCAAACGCGTTGTACGACCGACCCTTGCTAGGGCTATCGTAAGACGACGCGCGCAAGCGAGCAATCTCATCCTCGGCCCTGCCAGCGCGACTGCGCTTGCGAGGACGATCGGCCTCTGAAGTAAGAATGCCTGTCTTTTGCGGGCGCAAAGCAGAAGATTCGAGAGAGGAGATGTAACCACTGTCGTCCATGGACGCGAATTTTCTCTTGTGAGATCTGGTGATGGAAGACATAGGTCCGCGGCCAGGCGGAGGAGGCGTGCGGCTGCGGGGCTCCATGTGTCGCGGAATTGGCGGTGAAGAGTGCATCGTAGGCGGCAGAGGAGAGCATTCGTGGTCCAGCTTATCTTGTCCGTCTTCCGGTACGGCCGAGTCCGAGACAGGAATGGTGGCATCGGATGAGAACTCAACGGCAACGGTGGCCTGGGAAGTAGGCAGAGGCGGGAGCGTTGTGGCATGCCTGATCGGTGCCGGAGGCGGAAGGGTCGGTTCCTGGATCGGCATGTTGGCCGGCCTTGAGGGTTCCATTCGGGTTGACATGACAGGCACGTTTTCGGCGGTCGTTGCCGTCTTTCTTGCCGGCTTGTCCTTCATGAATTGTTGCTCCATGCCCTCCTGGATCGTCCAGTAATTTCCCTTGCCCGGGTCGTCCTTTGGTCGTTCTACCTTGATGAAGGCCTTGTGAAGGCTGAGGTTGTGCCGAATGCTGTTTTGCCATCCTGATTCCTCCGCCTTGTAAAACGAGTACGTGTCTGAGATCCACTTGTAAATTTGTGCGAGTGTCAGGCGTCGCAGTGGTGACCGGAGAATTGCCATCCCGATCAAAGTCGCGTAGCTGTGGCCTGGTTTCGTCCCATCGTCGACGATAGGAGGGAAAGAGTCATGAGGTGGAAGGCCGGACTCGTCGGCCTTGACCTTCTTCAGAGGTCTTGATTCCTTGATCGGCGCGGCCTCCATCAATGTGCGCTTTCCGGGTCCCTTGTGCATGTAGAACTGATCAAAGTTGATGGTTGGTGGCGCAGGATACAGCTGCGGGTGTACATTCTCCTTCCCAAAGCCGGCGGCCAAATCCACAGAAGGCGGCTTCTGTGCGACGGTCTTGAACTTGGACAAGTAGGGCTTCTTGTGTAGTGAATCGGTGTTCTGGTTGTTTGCTGATGGTGGCGCCATTGGCACCATATTTAACTTGCTGCCCTGGGACTTCAAGGGGGCATGGTGCGATTTGATGTTGCCTGATGATGCCTTTAGAGGCGAGTGTCTGTCGGATGCGAGCATCGGAGGGTTGAGGACGACGTTATTGGTACTTGTTGCGCCAAGCGGCCTCCTCGGTGGCTTGGAGGCGGCAGGCATGGGTGCGTGGTTGATCATTGTCGTCGAGTTCTCGAAAAAGTCGTCTTGGTAGATTTGCAAAGGCTCATGAGAGCCGGTATAGCGCGTGGGTTTGGCCATGTCGGCCGAGTGTAGTTGATTGATGTCGTCTCCAAACCTGCGTCAAGTGCGTTCGCGGCAAGTAGTGGGCTGTGGGAGGGAGGGCATGTCAGCGAGCCGCAAAGGCATAAGGTTAGATAAGTAGTCGACGGTGTGGTCTTGACTCTGTCAACCTGACAGGGCCCGGCTTCAAGGTTCTTGAACCCGAACGGGGTTTTGCATGATTGAAGGGAGGAGAAGGAGAGAGGAGACTCAAGGCTCACCTAGGTCGGGTCTAGACTTTGGAAATGAGTTGTGGGTCGTGAATGCAAGGGGGCCTTTTGGCGGTCAAATTGTAAGTTTAGCGACGGGATCGCTGGATCGACACGATGCGATCAGGCAAGCGATGGCGATATTCTGCGAAGAGTGGTGCCCGACAGACAACGTTGAAGAGCGACGACGACGACGATGCTGTGCTAAGTCGATAATGCGCGATGGGGTGTGTGAGTGTGTGTGTGAGAGCGAGAGAGTCAGAGGAGAGCAGCAGGCGAGGGTGAGGGTGAGGTATGGCTTATGGCTGCAGAAAGGTGAAAAGAAAAGAGGGGATATCAGGCACGATACCACGCGAGGGAGAGGAGGGTAGGTGAGATGTAATAGGCGAGCCAGCGGCAGCGGTAGTAGTGGTGGTGGTGGTGGTAGTGGTAGCAGGCGTGCGTAGGTCAGAGTAGGCAGTGAGGAGGAGGAGTAGGTAGAGCAAAGTGTGGGAGTCGGCGGCAGAAGGATGGATAGATGGATTGATTTCAGCCAAGGCGAGTGGAGAGGACCGGGATGTCTTTGAAGAGGTGGGCGGCCAGCTCAGCAAGCCCAGAGATGTCCGGTGGGGCCTCTGGAGCACGGGAGGAATGGGCGATTGGACGAGAGGAGCGTGGGCTGTGACACGACCGACCAGGCTAGGGTACGCCGAAGTGGCAGCAAGGGTGTGTAGTGTAAAGGACCTCCGTAGTCTGGTTAGATGCAGGGAGTGTAATGGAGCAGGTGTGTGGTGTGCGCGAATGTGAGTGTGAGTGTGAGTGCGAGTATGAATGTGCGTGTGCTTGATATCGTCCGGGGTGCGATGGCATAGGCACAGGTACAGAAGGTAGCAGCATGCATGGATGATGGGTATGGGCTATGGAGTAGTGTCAAGTGTGAAGAGGAGGAGGATCATGGATGGGCGATGATGGGATGCACGGCAAGGTCGACCGTTTGTTGGAACACGCCGTTCCGATTTCAAAAAGGTCGAAGTTGGAAGCCAACCGTCGCCGAGCGGGAGAGCGATCAGAAAGAAGTGCGCACACTTGTTAGGTTGGCAGAGACCTGAAGTACCGGTAGTGTAGGTAGGCAGTCCAGTCTGTGTAAGGTATCCGAAGATATACTAGGTGACTAGATACTCGATAGAGAGCTGCTCGCATCCGGGGTCGGTGCCCTCAGCCGTCACCGTTTGGTTTCTGTCAGGCGCGGAGGATGAGGATTTGCGTTTGTCTTTGCGCGTTTGCTTGGGCCACGCCGTCGAAAGAAAAGAGAGGGTCAGTCAGCCCGGTCGCTTGAAGTCGAACAGACTTTCACCCGGCTCCAGCTCAGGTCGAACTTCAAAAGAGAACCGACTGAGAAGACAAGAAGAAGAGCAATCAGAAGAAGCTCAGGGCTCCCGGGGCCAGGCCTGTCAGACTCAGTTCCAGTGGGGAGAAGGAGGGGGGAAGGGTGTCCGCGCGGGTTACGTCCGGCAGAGAAGATGTGGACGAAAGAGGATCCCAGACTTCCTAGAGCCCAGAGGTGACGACGTTTGTACGAAATGTGAATGGGCGAAAGCTGGCGACAGGACGGGAAGGCTATGCTATGCACGTAGTGTATGCAAGCAGGTTTTGCAGTTCATGCGAGAGTCCGTGGTGGGCCGCCGACGGGCTTGACTGTGAGTCTGTAAGGGTACCACAGTACTGCGTACGGGACTGACTCCTCTTTTTGCGCGCCGTCTTCCAACAGAAATGCGAAAATGTGCGCGCGTCTGCCACCAAAAAAGGTTGAATTTCCCACTGCATATGCACCAACACCACTGAACCACCCTTAAGGTCCCCTACTTCCCAGCACGCCACAGGGATGGATGCTGTAGATAACAGCTAGAGTCTCTAGATGCAGCTTGACGGGCAGCGAATAGTGTTGCATGCAGGGCTCTGCCGGGGGAATACCTGTGGATGCTGTGGGCAATGGTGCAAACTGTGATATCGCTCCGGTCCTCGACTTCGACTTCGTCTTTGGTGGTGTTGCGACTATCTCTGGACTACCAAAGTGTCAAAGGAAGCCCAGGCCAAACATGGTCCAGTCCAGCTGGTAGTGCGAGGCCCGAAAAAGAGACCACAGGGTTTGCCTTTTCTTCCTCTGGCAATGGCCGAAATGCTAGTCTCCCTCACGGTTGTGGCTTGTTCGGCTAAGCGCTCGTTTGCCGTCAATTGGCTGATCTGATCAGATCTGCAGCCGTGATGAAATGGGTTTCCTACCTAAGAAGACAAGAGAGACGAAAAAAAAAAAATTGCTAATGACTGTGCGGTGCGGTGCGGTGCGGCTGCGTTTGAGTGTGCGAGCCTGTGAGGGCTCGAAAAGAGGTCACTGTCTCGCTCTGCGACGGCTCTGTTGTCCTCTCTGTGGTGCTCTCATCTGGTCTCGTTGGGATGGCCTCTTTCTTGTGCTGGCCACTGGGATTGATTGGGTCGAGGGTTCGAGGCACAGGTCATGGATGATGGAATGAAGTCGGCGCGTAGCCGACGCGTCTCACCGATTTGGGAAGAAAACAACAAACGCGTCCACCATTAGCCAATCAAAACAGCCACATCACATGACTGTGCTCCCGATTGGCTGTCGTGCCCCCATCCGATGAAACTGGGTCATCCCAACTCATGTGCCCATCAGGAGCCATGACGGAAAGGAAATCACGGATAACCGCTGAAAAGGCTGGACGACATCTTTTTTCTTTTTGTCAGACTGACACCACTTAAACAGATTTTCATATTCCTCCCACCCCATCTTAGTCTTCTCAATGGCTTAGGTTGTCTTGCAACGATTGTTCCCGCTGTGAAACTGAGACCGAGACCTACCAAGACCACCCCCGTCTAATGCTGGCCAGATCGTCAGGTACGGAATGTGACGGGCGTCTCACTTTACCTCCCGATGATATAAGATGAGAAACGATTGCGCGCGCTCATTCCGCCTGATCTCATCTCTCGCCTCGTGCTCTGCGTTTTCAAAAGTCTTGGACGGCTAGACGGGTCTTTCTGGGCCGAGCATGACCAACCTGTCCGTGCCCGTGGAGGATCCCATCAGAATGATCAAATTCTCATCAATGCTTTCCTTCCATCATCCCAGCTGTTTGAACCCCAACCGCGAGAAACAGACTTCTAGAACTGGGCTAGATGGGGCGCTGTTCAGAAAGGGTACCCATGGATTTCTAGTGTAGGTAAAAAATGACTAAAGGATGCTCGAGCCTCGGCGCAGGGAGCACTCTGGAGCGCCCATCGCCGGCCGTGAAGACACTAACAGCAGCTGCACGGATATACGTTGGGAAACCTTGGAAGGCTAATAATGCCATGGATGAGCGGTGTCGAACGGGTCTTTGCCGTCTGCGGAAAGGCGACGACAGCCGCGGTGTCGCATCGGAGCGAGCCTGACGAATAAGCATGCCATGTCTAAATGGGCGACGTCCAACGAACGTTTGGTGGACGGGTTGCAGCCCGCGTGAGTTTTGCGAGTGTCAACGTACGCCTCGACCCATATCTATCAATCACAGGTAAACGGAGGCAGCCATTGATGATGGAGAGACTTTGGAACTCTGTTGTACAAAAAGGCAACGTCCAGTCTCGTGGCGCCAATTGCGACGAGACTGCTACGACATGTGTCTCTCCACCGGGCCCGAAACTTGAGTTTTTAGAAGCCCAGCGCGGCCAGGTACGGGGAAAGGGTCTCGGAATGCAAGACAACATCTCATCATCGGCCCTCCTTACTGTCAGGAACGGGACCACGGGAGCCACTGGGGGCTTACGGGTTGGAGAGGCATCTGACACTAGTCATGATACCTGTGAGTCGTGACCTGTTCGCTCCAATTCTCTCAGTAAAGTTGCCTTGGGTCCATGAGTCCATGACCGCTGCTACGTGCTTGACGGGATGGAAGATATGAGATTCTCGTAGTCAAGCCAGAACCGTTGGTGAGTACCTTAAGGTATCCGTACTCGGTACCTTGGGTAAGGTCGGTCTAGGTATTCCCGCACGACCTAAATGGCCCAGGGCATCCGATAATACGAAATACCGAGAGCGGAAACGTCCCCTCCCGAGCCCCCCCCCCCTCGGGGCCCCCATCCGTGACATCATCCCTTCTCGCTACCGCCAGCGGCACTGCGCACTGCCAGCACGCTGCAATGACCAATCCCTTCGCACATGTTTCCTGGCTGCTCTTTCCAGAAACCTCGTGTCTCCGCCAGTGCCCGGACATGGCCCCAGCTCTCGATCCCCAATCAAACCGTTTCCACCTCGCGTCATCTCATTGGTTCCGCTGGCTGACAATGTTTCAACCAGAATTGGGACCAACTTGCCAGGCTTTCCCAACTCCTTGCCTGTTCTTGCCTGTTCCTGTCATCAGGTTCCACCGGGTCTCGAAGCCACTTCCCAGTCCAGAAAGTACGTACCGTTGATTGTATCTGACCTGAGGTAGGTGCTGCAAGTTGCAACTGCCAACTGCACCTGGACAAGTGGGAATGCGTGTAACTCGTAACTTGCAAGTTGCAAGTGCGAGCAATGTCTGCGCCTGCAGGCAGGTAGGTGCAAGTGTGTAACGCTCTGGCTCAGCTTGTGTGGTGCAGACCAAGCAGGGTTCTGGGAAGCAATTTCTCTGTTTCCTGCCGCTGCGTCTCCCACCACTCATTCTTCCCAGTTCCCCGTCCCATTCTTGATTCCCCCATTGGCATTGACATTCACCATTCACCGCTCGCCTTATCGCTCCGGCCTCCGGTACCTGACGGGCGCCCTCTCCCATGTGAACCTCCCCTCCCAATTCTGCGCAATCCATTCACAAACCAAGAGGGGGTCACCAGGTACCGTCCCTATCTTGGCTTTTCCACTGCCAGGTTCAGCCCAGTCGTCACACCCTGTCAGTCGATCTTCGCATAAGATGCAAATCTTCCCTACGGGAGATATCCCATCTCGCACATCATTGACAACGCATCTAGCTCGCCCCGAATTCTGACTCTTCGCTATTCCCATCTCGGCATCTTTCCCACCTCGTGCTCAACTGACACTGGAGTCTCTTTTTTTTTTCTGCCCGAGAGAAGGGGGAAAAAAAGACATCGAGATCCCCACGGAATCTGCTCCGGCGATCAAATTTTCATCCTCACTTCCCTGTGCCTGACGATATGGAGTATTTCATGGGATCAAAATTCAGAGACACATGGCAGAAATGCGACAGAGTTTTCGTCATCCTCTGACCACTCTTTTCTCTTCTTCTTTTCACTCATTCTCGTGCGTTTCCCGGCCCGAGCAACCTGCCAGCTCACACCCATTGGATGTTCGATGGGACTCTCGTCTGTCCGTTTCAATGCACAAACGCTCGCGGGCGGACCACAACCCGCGCGCCGCTGCATCGCACTACTGTACTCCGTACCCCTCCCTTTCTTCCTTTCCATCTGTATGCACTCCGTACGGCTGCGTTCCTCTCCATCATTTCCCTCTCACAGACTGTCACTCTCATTCTGGAACCCCCGGAGCGTGTATCCCTGCCTGCTCGATATTAATAGCGCTGCTTTTGATATACCCGCTCAAAGTGCCGGCCGTTCTCCCATTCTCATTCCCATCCCATCTCTGATTCAGTACCGACCTTGTCCGGCGTGTCGTCTCTAGCGTGACGATACTCCATGGTCCATACTCCGTACCCAGAGGAGAGGACCACTACCGCAGATGCCAACCTGCGGCCTGCTCTGCCTTACCTTATCATCTCCAAGCAACTTGTCTTTCCAACCCCAGCTTCATCCCCCATGTCAGGCCATACCAAAAGCCCCATATCGCCCAGATAACCCTACGGGCTGTACTCCGTAGTCCAGAAAAACCAAGGCAGCCGAGGAAAGCTTTGGGCGCATTTCAGCTCACGCGCACTGTCGCCGTCCGTCCGTTTACCGATCCCACGTTGAGTCTGTGATCCTCAGCACCCTAGAAGGAAGCATTGACGACCAAAAGTTGGCCGACTCTAGATGCCCAATTGCCGCCAGCAATGCCTTCATTCCGGTCTTCCCAACAATGGACAACGCATTTGCCATCTCATTTGCTTTTTTCCCCATGGCCCATTCGTCCGCCTCAGTTTCGATTTCTTCTTTTCACTAGTTTTGCCAAAAAGTTTGCCTCTACGTGCGAAAGCTGGTTTGGAAAACGGGTCCCTCGGCTCTATTGTCTAAGTCTTGCACGTTTTGTTCGTAAAAGACCAGATGGCAGGGCCCCCGTCCCATTCACGAAAAAGCAAGCCTGAAGCATAGGCCAACGTCCGATCTCCGGCCCATCATCCAGGCCCTTTCAGGCCATTCATCGCATTCTAATTCCTCCCTCACATCAGCCATGTCGTAAGACGTAGGTGGGTATTGCCCTGTACCGAGTGTACTCGGCCTTCCATTGTTGGGACTACCTCAGGACGCTCCAGAAATATCCCATCCCGCTTCCTTCGAGAGCATTCGGCGCTCTTTTCCAGAGCGCCATCCCGGAGCCCAATCGGCCCTCTCAAACCGTAACACACAGACTCGGAGGACCGAGACACACGATCTTCCCGAGTCTCAACAGCACACCAACTCTGCCCGTTTTCACCCCTTGTTCTTCCATGGCCGTTTCCAAACTTTCCATGAGATCAGAAGAAAGAAAAAAAAAGTCCGGTGGCTGGGAGGATTTTCCAGGGTAGCTCTAAACTGGGGTTCATCTTTTTCCCACCTCACGAGCACCTCATCCGTGCATATGTTTCATCGAGGTCGTAGTGCTGCACTTGCTGTTCCTCTGACCGTGACAGCCTGGGTCCGGGGCCCAACGAGAAAGATATCCCAAAAGGCCAGAACCTCTGCTGGGCACATCCCTCTCTCCCCAGTATGTCCTGCAAAGACTCTACCTCCGACGACCGACGTGGACTCAACATCTCAACTTTACAGCTGGTGAGCTGCTCGCTCTGCCACGGGCGAAAGCGACTTGCAGATCCCAAGAAACGTCCAACCCTTACTGTGGGTGAAAGCTCCAACAGTCGAAGAGGGGGGAGGGGAAGCAACAGGACCCGTAGATCCACCCCCTCCTTCTTCATGTCGTTCCTGTCCCAAGCTTCCTAGCCGAATGCAACCGTATTTCAACCTTGAACGTTGAACGTCTTTTTTGATAGCTCTCGCTCAGCCTCCTGTACCTCTCTCAGTGGCAACTCTCTCAAAAGCAGTAACAGGTACTAGGCAGGAGCTCTCACGCCCTCCAGAGCCATCTCATCCAGCTCACTCTCTTTTCGTGTCGAGTTGCCACGAGAGAACTTGGACGATCGACCTGCATATCTAGCCCAATCACTAGAGCGTTTCCTCCTCACCATAGTGTTCAGTAGCCCTCGCGCCTACATTAGTCCCTACAACTAGAACCCGATACACAAGCAGCCGCTCCCGAGAAATCCGGGATCATGCGCAGTAGACGGAGAGGAAGAGAGAGGGGCACCTAGGTAGTTTTAGTTTGCGCGGAGAAGATTACCTGCAGATTGCAGTAGTAGATAGACTCCTCATGTCGTACTATGTTGCACATGAAAAAGAAGAACCTGCAGTAGTGTACAAACCAAAGCGAGATATCGCAGCTACGCCACCTTGGCCACCTCTTCCCCTCCCCCATCCAGCGCCGCATGCATCAGATGGGCGCAAACCGTTTGACCACACCTTTCCCTCCCTGCCCCTCCCACCTTTCTCAAGGATGCAGGAACTTATCAGACGAAAGGACCTGAATGTCAATAAACACATGAAAGTACTCCCGACGCGTTGTAGTACAAAATCGCGTTTGGCTCATGCGGAACAGAAGGAAGACCTACTGCAGGATCGATGACCACGGGCATGGGCATGGCATCCTCCCCCGATTGTCAAGTGTGAAGATCTTCACATTCGAGCACTGCCCGTTATGGGCCGAGAGATGCACGTAACCCAGCGATACAGCACCTTGGGTTTAGTTAGCTTCAAGCAACCCGTTGAGGGATCCTCGAAGAGCAAGATGGAAAGAACCCCTTCTTGGCTCTTTCCATCCTCGTGGTCTATTCCTACCTACCTACTTGACTCCAGACTTGCCATGCTTATACCCACAAGACACACAAATGATAATAAAAAAAACCCTCTTAACCTGCCAAGAAAAGATCTACCCTTACCTCGAAGCTCAAGTACAGGAGAAAACTCACGTATATCCGAGCAAACTGAACGAGGTCTCACTCAGTCGTAGTCGTAGTCACAACTCGTAGGTCGGAATTCGTACCCTGAAAGACTCGGGAAGAGGGGCCTCAGACACAGCACAAACACCACACTGACGCCATCACCGCCGCACCGGCTTGACCTTTGCGCTTCTTCTCCCTGCACAGAGAGACAGACGATCCTTTCGATCGGGCGTCAGAGTAGGAAAAAAAGGGCTAGAAATAACTTTACGCCACCCAAGCTCCTCAAGTCCCCTCAGGGACCCAAAAAAGAAAGAAAGAGAGGCATAACGCACACGCAACGCATGGCCCCCGACACACCCAGAGCTAATGCTTCTCCGCGCCGGATCCCACAGCTCAGATTCTTTGTTTGACACGACGGACTGATCAGCCAGCCGGCCGGGCGGCGGCGGCGGGGAGAGAGAGGGTAGGTCACAGGCCAAAAAAGAACCAAAAACGCACTGAGACTTGAGGATAAAGAAACGAAATTCGGGGTTTGCATTACTAGCTGGTGTGGGACATCTGTATGATAATGGAAACAATACCTACTGCTGCACGCCTCCAAACCCCTTCCTCTCAGCGAAAAACCTTGCCACATGTGAACTGAATCTACTTCCAACTAATCCTGAAAGCTACCTGGACATAGCTCTCTCCTCTCGTTCTCTCTCTCTCTCTCAAAATGCCCTACCCCGTGACATCCTTCACCTGCATCCACAGCCAGCCACAGCCCAGCACGGACTATTGAAACTAGCACCGAGCATTTAATCCAAAACGCGGCCTGCAGTAGCAGCACCGCTCTTATCGCGAGTCTCGGTCTTCTTCAGGGCCTTGCCAAGTTGGATCTCCCCGAGCAGACCCGCGGGTCGACCGCCTGCGGGGGGGCCTGACGGTGCGTCACCCGCCGGTGGTGGGGGAGGTGGTGGCGGGGGAGCTCCCATGCCTGGAGGGGGAGGAGGCGGCGGCGGCGGGCCACCTGGTGCGGGCGACGCCGGCATCGGTGGCGGAGGGGGGGCCGAAGGAGCCTCGGGTGCCGGGCCTGGCGGGGCAGGGGAAGCACCGGTAGCTGGCATAGGCGGCGGGGGAGGAGGGAACGCAGGTGAGGCGTCGCTACCCATGGCCGGGCTGACAGGGTTAGACATCGGCTTGTCTCCGGTGGCTGAGAGTGGTCGCGGGGGACCCATGGTTCCGAACAAGATGGACGCCAGAGCCGCAGCGCTACTGCCGCCGGGACGGTCATCATCGTCGGAATCTTCGTCGTCCTCCTTATCCGTGCCCCAATCATCGTCCTCATCAGGGCGCTTGCGGGAGAAGGGTCCGGAGGGAGGCGGGGGAGAGGCAGCTGCGGGAGCTGCCTTGCTCTCTTGCGCCATACGGTGGAAGGGGTTAGTGGACTGCGCAGCCGCCGGGGGTGGGGGAGGAGCGGCGGCAGGTGCGGAAGGTTCGCTCGGGGCCGAGGTGGATTCGGATGAGTGAGAGAGCATGCGGTGGTACGGGTTGCGGCTCTCGTTCTCGGTCGGAGGACTTGTGACCACCGTTGGAACGGGGGGTGGGGAAGGCTGCTTCTCAAGCTCCTGACTGCTGATCTGGCTACCACCTTGAGTAGGGGTGGAAGCCTGGGGGGTAATTTGAGAAGGGCCATCTTCGTCATCCGATGAGCTGTCATCATCGTCATTCATAGCCTCGAGCTGGCGTTGGAGCTCCAACTCGCGCTGACGGGCAGCTTCGATCTCGGCTCTTTGTGCTGCCAACTTGGCCTCCTTCTCCTTTTGCTCAGCGAGGGCTGCCTTCTTCTTCCGCTTCTCCTCTTCCTTTTTGAGCTTGCCCTGCTTGACTTGCTCCTCAAGTGCCTTGAGACGAGCAGCTGCAGATTGTCGCTCAGTCTCAAGATCATCTTGCTGCTCTCTGGCGCTCGCCCTGTGTATTTGTTAGCACATATTCGTCTTCGATCGTCTTCTCAATGGATAAACTTACTCCAACTCCTTGGTAGCACGCTGTTGCTCCTCGTGCTCCCTGGCGAGACGCTCTTCTTCGGCCTGTTTAGCCGCTTGCTCTTCCTCCGCCTTCCGCGAGGCCTCTCTCTCAGCAGCATCGCTCTTGGCAGCCTTCCTCGACGGTGGCGGGGGAGGCTTCTTGGCAGCCGGGGCCGGAGCGCCCGTTTCTTCAGCGAGCCGGGCCTGACGTTCAGTTTCGCGGCGCTCATCCTCCTCCTCGGCCTGGCGCAGCTTAGCGGCACGTTCGGCTCTCTCACGCTCCATTCTCTGGGCAGCCGTCTCGCCAGGCTTAGTGGGAGCCTTAATGCCCAGAGCAGCAAGCCTCTCAGCCATACGCTGCTCGGCCTGCTGCTTGATGAAAGCAGCACGCTCCTCGGGGGTCTTGTAAGAAGAGTACGAGCCTCCGGGAGTAGTGGTACGCGAGGGGGGCGCAGGGCTCTCGAGGCGGGCGGCGGGGCTGGCCGCAGCAGGCTCCCTTGAGGATGCACGAGCAGCCGAAGGCGAGGACGAAGAAGTAGGACGGCGGTCCTGGGCCCGAACTCGCGCAGCACGGCTAGATCGCTGAAGATCAAATATGAAATCTCTGACTTCATCCTCGACGCCCAGAGCGTCCTCCCAGCGTCGCTTCTCGTG